GCCAGCAAAGGCTTTTGGGCAGGCAGGGAGGCCGGTTCATGCGTGCCCTTGGGTGGCAGTAGTACAGGTGGAGAAGGGATTGGGCTCAGCTCAGGCTTGAGCACTGCAGCTGGTGGCACGGACACCCCTGCTGGGACAGGGCCACGCGTGTCCCAAAGCTGTGCTGGAAGCTGGAGCAGCAAGGCACCGAGCACCACTCACCTCCCTGCTGTGTTCCTGTGGGGTGTCTTCTGCAAAGCTCCCCCAAAGGATTTCATTTCTCCATGAAGAAAAGTCCTTCATGCAAGCCAGACCCGTTTAGCTGGACTCCCACAGCCTTTAGCTGGTCCTCAGATGGGAGGGTGCCACTGGTGTCGAGTGGTCCCACAGCTTTTGGGTTTACTGGAAGCCTCTGCCCGTCCCTGGGCGGCCCAGTTCCTCTTCCCTGCCTTCCGGAGGCTGGAAGGGGAGGCTGCCAAGCGTGACATATGGTGATTTTGGGGGCAGACTGCGGAGTTCAGTGATGCTTGTTGGCAACCCAGCCTCGAGAAAGCAAAGATGAGGATTTAAATGCATTGTGACATTGTTCTGGAAGATGTTCTCCCGAAAGATAGCCTTGTCATTTTTGCAGCCCTGAATCACTCCTCCGGCGCTGGAGCGGAGGCAGAGCCGAGCTCCCGGGACTCCCGGCTCTGCCCTGGTGGCCTGCAGCGTTCCCTAAAGCCCTGTCTCAGCCCGGGATGCTTTTTGGGTTGCTAAATGCATCTGTGCTGAGCTGTAAACGCTTCCACGTGGTCCCATGGCATGGACTTAGCGTGTGCACTTTGTGTGTCCGTGGCCTGTGAGCAGCACGGCCCTGGGAAGCTGCTTTGTCACTTTTGTCACCGTGGGGGCAGCTGAGCCCCTTGTGCTGGAGAGCACCAGGCTCCTGAGACCCTCTGGGGCTGCTGCCTCGTATGAGCTCAGCGGATTAAAACTTGTTCCCAAATTTTATCAAATAGGCTTGTAATTTGGAAAACAAGGTATTGAAAGCACTATCTTATTTCTCTTATCTTCGTATTTGCTTTGGTCCCCTTTGTCTTTTTTCCCCGTGATGTGTGCTTTTTTGTAATTTTCTGCTGTTTCCTTCCCTCTCTCTTATCTCTCCCTCTGCAGTTCTCTCCCCTTTTTCTCTCTGTTTCTCTCTCCCTCTCCCTCCCCCCTGCAATTTATTTGCAGGCAGGTTGTCTCTTTGATTTACTGTATCTCTCCTCAGTGGGATTATGATAAATGGCTTGTTCGGCCGCGGCTGAGCTGGCCCAGCACCGCGTGCTCGCATGGGGTCAGGCCCCTTTGGAGCACGAAAACCACGCAGAGGTGCGTGCGGAGCGCTGCTGCCTGCCTGAGACCCACGCCTCCTTCTGCCCCACCATCATTTCCCTAGGTTTGAAGAGCATGAGAAGGATCAAAAGGGGAGAAAAGCCCCCTACCACTGGGGAAGGTGATGCTGAGGGCATTCGCAGTGGCAACAAGTCAGCGGGCGCTCCCGTGTGCGGCTGCGGTAACACCTTGCTGCATCGACTCCCTCGGTGGAGATCCTGGGGAGGGCTGGGGCAGAGCGTGGTGCAGCCCATCGCAAAGTGACGCAGCACCTTTGCGCCCAGCTGATGTATGTGCAAATCCATTTTCCAACACGAGTTTTGGTTTTTAGCCGCTCCAAGTCAGCCCATGTGGGCTGGTAGCGTTGGCATAGCCGAGACATCTTCATGGAGCTGCTCCTCTCCGACAGGTTCCTCACAAAGACCCCGAGGTGCTGGCATTCCTGTTCAAAACGACGGGCAGAGAAAGCTCCTGACTTGTTTTTGTTGTTTAGCGCGTCCTCTGCGATCTGAACTTGGTTTGTTATTCTGGGGATAATCCTTCATAATGAATCTGCGGGAGATTGATGGGGATAGCTCGTTATGCACTTCCAGAGCAGTTTCGCTGTAATTCTGTAGCAGCAAAATGTACCATTAAAGGCAGAGAGCCATGGGAATGATGGGACATAATTAGTTGTTGCTGTAATATTTTTGATTGAAAGTGTATAGATACTGCAAGCGGCTCTTTCGGAAGCTGGGGCTCGTAGGGAATGGTGAAGAGGAGCGGTGCTTCTCCGCTGGGAGAGGGCGATCCCGCTCTTCCCCTGCCCACCTCCCTGGCACCATCATGAAAAAGGGCAAGTCCTCCTGAATCTGAGATGTTGTGGGTGAGACGTGAGCCCAGCAGTTTGCATGTCTGGCTCGCTCCTGCTTTGCTTTTTCTGTCTTGGTGGAAGCCTGGGGCACGTGGAAACCTTGCAGAGGGAAGCTGGGTGGCAGTGCGGGGTTTGCGCCCTTGGAGCATTGTGGCCCTAAGCAGAGGCTGCCATGGGTGTGGGGAGTGACCTGAAATTATCTGGGTGACCTTCTGCTGTGGGCTGGAGCCCCAGCTCTCTTTGTACATGGGGAATGGCAAGAATTAAATTCAAGCACTTCCCCTGCCACCTGCGGGGCTTCTTTCCCACCAACATTAAGAGGCTTAATCCAGGTTGGGTGTGGTGATGGAAGCCGTGACGCAGCCTGGCTGAGCTCGCAGCCACAGCATCGTCTCTGTCAGCGTTGGTTCGTGCCGGTCTTTGCAGTGAAGCTTCTTGGCTTTATTTTCCAGTTGTTCCCTCTTTCTGCTTTTTGTTCGCTCTGGGAGCGGGACCGCGTCCCCAAGCACCCGCTGAAGCGTGCAGCGGGGAGGGAAGCGCTCCGTGGCGCATCCAGCTGCTCCCTACTCCCACCCCCAAATTTTTCACCCCCCCCCCCAGCTGCTCAAACAATGCCAGCCACCTGTCAGCTCCCCCCAGCCCCACCACGGCACCGCCTGGGCACTGGTGCCACCGTGCACGGCTCCGCTGAGGGTGTCCGGGACCTGGGACCGCGCTGGTGCTGCCGCAGATGGACCCGCTGCCGCGCAGTGAGGATGTTCCTGCATGCTAATTGCTGGCATCTTTACTCGTTACGAGTGTAATTGTGAGTAGACGTTTGTTTTTGTATTGATAATTAGGGACTGGAACAGATGGTGGAGGCTTAGTTTAAAGTAATGTGTCCATTAAAGAAAATCTACTGTATACAGCTGAAGATTCTTCACTCGAAGAGAGCTTGGCTCTCCGCAACAAAGCTCGGCTTCTCCGCAACGAGGGCTTCAGCCCTGACTGGAGGCTCAAGTCCCGGCTGGTGGGCACCTTTCCAGGGTGGTGGGCACCTCTCTGTGCCCACGTGGTGAGCTCAACCCTGGGCAGTGCCTGGAGCCCCCTGAGCACGTCTCGTGCTGGGAGGACGGAGCCAGGCTCCTTGCGGTGGTGCCCAGGGACAGGATGAGAGGCACGGGCACAGACCCAAGCAGAGGAGGTTCCCTAGGACATGATGGAGCAATTCTTCCCTGCAGGTGATAGAGCAGTGGAGCAGGCTGCCCAAAGAGGTTGTAAAGCCTCCTTGGAGGCCATCAAAAGCTTCTGGCTGTGGTCCTGGGCACCCTGCTCCAGGCGGCCCTGCTTGAGCAGGGGTGTGACCAGAGGGGCCTAGAGGTCCCTTCCTACCTCAGTCCTGCTGTGGTTTGGTGATCAGCCTGGGGTTTTGGTGGGGCCAGGCTTTTCCAGAGGCTCAGAGACAGGCTTTGGGTTGCTCTTCTTGTCCCTGCTCCTCCTCCCCCCAGAGGAGGGCATTGCGAACCCCTGTGGGTAGACTTGTCCACTGAAAAAGGGTCAAGATCCCTGGAAAAAAAATAAATGTGGAGGAAAAGCCTAACTGGCGGCGTGTGAATTCAGATGGAAAGATAACTTGGTTTTCACACCTTGTTTTCCATCAGTTAATTGTCCCCTTGCCCTCCTGTATCAGTTTGCCCCGGGCTCTGGGCTGCTAGCACGAGAGCGGAGCCTTCCCCGTTTCCTGTGGTTTAGGGTAGGGGCATGGCCATGGGACGAGGCAAGAGCTTCTTGATAGGGAGGCAGCTCCTCCGCTGTTGGCTTTGGCTTCTTTTCAATTTATATATTTCTCTTTATTTCTAGCCTCCTGCCTAGGGAGCTGCTGTGTGCCGTGTCGTGCTGTTCCTCCCAGTTTTCTTTCCAAGATTCAGAGCCTGTTGGGGGCTTTTGGATCGAGGAGCTGATGAGGAAGGAAGGGCTGAGTTTTTGGGAGGGGATTGGGCTGTGCATCACCCCGGTGCTGAAATCCTTGCAGCACCCTGCTTATTTGAAGGGTTGTGGCAAGGACTAACGAGCACTTAATGATGTGCATGGCTGAACTTACAGCAAGGGGAGAAATAATATTTGCATGGCGCCTGTTGGTGTGGGACACAGATGCTCAGTGGGGACACGGATGGGAGCGCAAATCATCAGCAGTGCTAGAGGGAAGCTGTGGCTGAGATGTGTTGGTTTTGGCCAACACGAAGAGAAGCCAAATCCCAAAAGGAGCTGTGCCCTCCTGCCTTGGCCGTGGAGGGACGGACGGGTCGATTCTGGGCAGGGGCGGTGCGTTTCCTTCCCGTGCTTGGTTGAGACGCGGGAATCGAGCAAATTCATCTGCATGTCTGCTTGCTGAAAACAAATAAATAAAACCTGGAGGATTTTTCCCATCTGTTTCTGTATGTTGTTGCTCTCACTATTATTGTTGCTACTCTTTCTTGTGAAAGAACAAGAAAAAAAAAAGCGGGGAAATGCCAGCTGTAGTGCGGCTTTTAGATCTTTTCCACCAAACCTGCCGTGGAAAGCCCCCCAGCAGTGGAGCACCGCTCCAGCAGCCCTGTTTTTATTCACGTGTCTGAAATCACTGCCAAACCACAGCTGCTTGGAGCTGTCACAGGCCAATGTGGGTGCGTGATATGGGATGTCCCGGGTGGTCCCGTGAAGCACACAGGTGCTGGGGGGCTTCTCCTTGGTTTTCCTCGTGCCTGGGGGTTGATGCGGACACACACCTTGGGTTTTTGCAGGTGATGACTCCTTTATCTTATATTTTTTTTTTCTTCTTGTGTTTCCCCAGAAACCCTGATGGACACGCGGACGGCGACGGCTGAGCTGGGCTGGACCGCCAACCCACCCTCGGGGGTAAGTCCTGTGTCCGGCTGCGTGCGCTCCTTCTCCTGAGGCCAGGTTGGGTCCAAGCCCATCCCCTCCCTGCCCCGCTGTCTCCTCTATCCAGGCAGGTCCCCGTGCTTGCTCCTCCCCATCCTCCTGCTCGTGCTTCCCCTCTCCCTGTACCACAAGGCTTGTAATTAGGAAACATTAGCAGGCTCAAAACAGCTTTCATACCTGGAACATCATCCATAATTGCACTCAGCAGTGCTCTTCCCTGGCTATTAATGTCACTTTTATGAAGTAATGAGGAACAAAACACCCTGAGGCACTTAAAACATCTTTTTTATATAATACGAGTCTTTGAGGGATGGAAGCATAAAATAACCTGACTCACATTCCCCTGACAGAGAAAGTGATAGACAAAGACAGGCGCAGACAGGGAGGGGAGCAGTGGGGTGGGTGGCAGGCTGGTACCCGCGCGGCGCTGGCCCTGTGCTCCCCAAAAACCACAGCTGGAGAGCTGGGCTGTCGGGGTGCTAGGCGCCTTGTTGGGTGGGCTCAGAGCATCTCCGGGGGCTTTGGGGCTGCCCCGCTGTGCTGTGTACCCACTGGGGTTGGTTGGCCCCACGGTCATCCCCTGTGAAGTTTGGACAGGCCTGGAAGACCAGAAAGAGCTCAGGGATGTGCAGTTAGATACGTATGTGCAGGTGTGTAATGATAGAAGTAGGGATGTGTAAATAAATAACAGTACACAGCACCGAACCCTCTGTCCTCCTGTAGGAGATCAAACAGGATGAGCATCCTTAGGCTGTCCCCTAAAAGAGTTTTCCAACCTATAAGACATTCTTGTCACCTATTTCTACTTTTCACATTTTCCCTTTGATGTGTGACAGGGGAAGCCCCACTGGGGGTGGTTCCTGGGTTTAACTTTTTTATTTCCTGGGTATTATTTTGCCTAATTGATAAGTGGTCAAGCAAATGGTGCTTCTGGGAGCACCTCGCTGCTGGGGAAAACGTGAGTGTGCACAGAGCAGGTCCTGGTGGGGTGGGTAAGGAGCTGAGGGATTGTGTTGTGCCAGACAGCACCTCGATACAGAGCAAGTGAAAAGAAGAAACAAGAAGAAAGGTGGGTGCTCTGTGGGCAGTGCAGGGCAATGGAGAAGATGGGAGCAGATCCCTGGCTGCTGCTGGGACCTCAGCTCCTCCTGGCTCTTTCCATCCACCTCCCTGGGGAGTTTTGTTCCCCTGTCCCTCCTGATGCCACCAGCTTCCCCATTCCCCATCTGGGGTTGGCTCTGCCCGGTCCCGCTGTCACCGGAGCGATCCCCGGGGAGGGGTAGGAGAGTTCAAAGGGGAGAGGGCAAAACCTCGTTACCATGGGGCTGGTTTTGGTTCGCCAGCTCTTCTGGGAAGAGTCGATGCCTGGTGCTGCCCCTCCACACTCAAATGCCCGCAGTTGCTGCCGCCGTGTTGCCCCCAGGAATTATGCCCGTATCTGGCGTGCTGCGTCAAGGTTGCTGTATGAATAATGCTGTTATGAGGAGACTGTAAACATGGATTAGTGAAAATGAATGGATTATGAGGCTGTAAATCTGTCTGTGGGACTCTAATTCCATCATACTCCATTCACAGTTTGCTGCTGTCTCTTAATTGAAATTGTAGCCTGGATTGTATTAATGCCCTTCTATAAATCGAACTGTGAATCTATATTCTCTCTCTGCTGAGACGTGCTTTGGTAATGCTTTATTTAAAGAGTATTTTTTTGCTGGGGGAAGCAATCCCGTTGTGCCCAGAGCTTGAGCCTGGCCTTGGCTTGGTCTCTGATGAAGACCCGGCCTCGTGCATTGCTGTTCTTCACTTCCCAAAGTGCTTTGAGAAATTCCATCTCCCCGTTTGTACGTCCTGCTCGCCTCCTGGGGCAGCTGAGGCAATTTCCCCCTGTGGAAATGATGTTTTAGCCTCAGCTGTGAGTGTGGGGCAGTGAGAAGGAGGTGAGGTTTCCTCCTGGTGCTGTTTCGCTGTGCACCCGGGGCTGCCTGTCTGTGACGGTGCTCCTGGCCCCTCCTCGCGAGGTGCAGCCAGATGACCTCTGGAGGTCCTACTGACTGGCACCAGAATGATTTGGGGTCCTCCTTTGAGGCCATCCCTGCCTTTGGGGTTACTGGTGCCTCCGGTGTCACCTCCAGCCCCACCGCCTCCCCCTCACGGCCTCTCCTCTCCTCTCCTTTGCACAGTGGGAAGAAGTGAGTGGCTACGACGAGAACCTGAACACCATCCGGACCTACCAGGTGTGCAACGTCTTCGAGCCCAACCAGAACAACTGGCTCCTCACCACCTTCATCAACCGGCGGGGCGCCCACCGCATCTACACCGAGATGCGCTTCACCGTGCGGGACTGCAGCAGCCTCCCCAACGTCCCCGGCTCCTGCAAGGAGACCTTCAACCTCTACTATTACGAGACGGACTCGGTCATTGCCACCAAGAAGTCCGCCTTCTGGACGGAGGCACCCTACCTCAAAGTGGACACCATTGCTGCTGACGAGAGCTTCTCCCAGGTGGACTTTGGTGGCAGGTTGATGAAGGTGAACACCGAAGTGAGAAGTTTCGGGCCCTTGACCCGCAATGGCTTTTACCTGGCTTTCCAGGACTACGGGGCTTGCATGTCTCTGCTCTCCGTCAGGGTCTTCTTCAAGAAGTGCCCGAGCGTGGTGCAGAACTTCGCGATCTTCCCCGAGACGATGACGGGGGCGGAGAGCACCTCTCTGGTGACTGCCCGCGGCACCTGCATCCCCAACGCCGAGGAGGTGGACGTGCCCATCAAACTGTACTGCAACGGGGACGGGGAGTGGATGGTCCCCATAGGGCGCTGCACCTGCAAGGCCGGCTATGAGCCGGAGAACAACGTGGCCTGCAAAGGTAGGGTTGGCCTTGGTTTGCGAAGTGCTTTGTGCTTCTGGAGCTTTGCTGACGTGATGTTCGTCCCCAGACAAGCTGCTGTGGGTGATGTGAGTGGCCTGGAGCTGATTTCCAAACGGATCTGCCGTGAAAGCTGTTTCGCTCTGGGGGAACCAAGCAGGGATCTGGGAGCTGCGGTGCCCAGACCTGCTCCCAGGTCCCTAAATGTTGAAAACATGCAGAGAGCACCTTCCTTTCTGCTCCTTCTACCCCAGCACTGCTGAGACAGCTGGCGTGTGTCACTTCTGTCCGTGCACAGGGAGCCCCCAAAGCTTTGTGGTGTCCTCTGGGGGTGCGGGTGCTCTTGGTGCACCATGCTGGTGTGATGCTGCAGGGCCCATGGCCCCTGGCTGCACCCTGATGTCAGCCCCTGCTCGCAGTGGGGGCACTGGGTCCTCTGAGGGGGGCTTGTTTGTGCATGGAAAAACATGGTAGAGCATGGAAGGAAAACCTTTGCTTAAAATAAGGTGGTGTGCTAGGTGTTGTCGTGCTCAGAAGGCTGTTGGGCCGCTTTCCTGGTGACGTGTGTTTTGTTCTGCTGCCCCTGACCTACAGTCACTGGTGTCCCTTGGCAGAAGCATGAATTTCCCCTCCTGTCCAAGTCTGAATCTGTCTTGGTGGTCTTTGCCCCATGATCTCTGCCATGAGAGCACGGAGCAGCACTGCTTCAGAGCAGAGGCTGCTGTGCATCTCCTGCACACTGCCATGACCCAGCGTGGAGCAAAAAGGGTAAGAGCAGAGCAAAAACCCGCAGCCCCAGGAATGACTGCAGCACGCAGAACCCAATCTGCGTTCTCCTGGTGCTTTTCAGAACTTGCAAAACCAGCCACGTGTCTTGGACATGGGCGTGCATCGTGACGGGGATGGGGGCACCCATTTGAGCCCCTCTGCCACCGCCACCAGTGTGCTGGAAGCTGCGGCGATTTGCTGCCTTCAAAGGGTGATGCTTGCTGGCAGAGCCACTTTCATCTCCTCGTTATTTCCTGAGCAAAGCTGCAGGAGCAAGGCAGCCGTCGCCGGCCTGACCGCCGTGCCGCTGCTCTGGTTCTGGGTATTAATTGGTTTTGCTGTGGTTTTTTTTTTGCTGTTTTTCTGGGTTCCCCCAGCCATGCCGCTGGTGTGCAGCTGCTGGGTTATAAATATGGAAACGGTGCTCGCTGCTTGTCATCTCCTTTTTGCAGTTCTGATGAATATTTCCCAAATAGAAAAAAAAATCCTGCAACCCTATTAGCATTACAAGCTGCCCTTTCAGTCTCCTCTCCTAAATAATGGTCGTGTTTCTGTACCTTGCTTGGAAGCAGGGGGGAGCAGAGGGTTTCCACATGAGAAGGGCTGCAATCCCATCCATTAATCCCGTCCATCGCCGGGGGGAATGTTTGGGAAGTTGCTTGTTGCTGCTGTTTTCCTGACCTTTCCTCATGGTTCGTGCCCTGTGCTCCTGCTCTGCAGTGCCAGGGCTGAAGAAGAAACTTCTGCCACCGCTCCGGAGAGCTCCGGGCTGTTGTTTTGCCTTTGCATGGTGGGCACGCATCGTGTCACGGCTCCTTTGGGTGAAAATTTGTCCAGTAGAAACAGCCCTAAAAGCCAGGGCTTAGCTCAGGTCTGTTGGAAATCTGACCATGTTTGGGTAAAAATCTGACCTTGGGTTGGGCTCTGCCTTCTTGGTGGCTTGTGTGGACCCTTTGGTCACGAATATCGTGAGGGTGCAGCGCCTCATGGAGGGATGCTGGTTAGGGATGGGCGCCCACCACCTGCTCTGGGTCTCCTGCAGCAGGATCTGGGTCTCTCCATCACAGCAGGGTGTGGGATCGCACCCCAAAGTGTGGGGTGAGCATCTCTGCCGGGTGGCTCCGCCGCCGCTGCTGCACCAGCTCCTGGGAGGCTGGCGCTCCTGACATCTGCTTGAAGCCTTCGTCAACCTGAGCAGCTGAGATGAGCCACTTAACGAGCCCGGGGGAATTGTCACAGAAAAATCCGTGGTATTTTAAGGTTGAGAAAATGGGATTAATTCCTCAGGGAAAGAAGGAAAAAAAATAAAAATAAAAGGGGAGGGTTGAGTTGTTGAGCTCCATCACCCCAATCTCATCCCTCCTACCCCAGGAGTGGAGGCAGTGCTGTGATGGGGCTGACGGAGTGGATCAGCACCAGGGGCTCGTTAATTGGGATTATCATTGGGTATTCACAGTGTTTGGGGTCCTTGTTTTCCCCGTGTTTTCCCCGCTGGATGGTGGGGCTCCGTGCCTGAAAGCCCAGGTTGGGCTGCCCCAGCTGCTCTGAGCCTCAGGTCGATGTGAAGCGGAGGCTGTTGCCGAGCCCGGAATGAATAATTCATGGGGCATGGTAGCCCACGCGCCGTGCAGGTGGATATTAAACCCATCCATCTCTCCCACCCCGGCCCTCAGCCGTGCTTTATGGCCTGCCGCCCGGTCAAGGAGGAGGAGGCTTTGGGCACGTTCCTTGGTTCCTCTTAGAGGGAATTAATTCATCCCTTCCTCTGCCGGGGCTTCACTCTGAAACCTAACGATGGCAGGCAGAGGGGCTGCCCGCTTTGCCCCCATGGGGAAGGGGCGGTTCTGGCTTGAATCTGGGGGAGGTGGGGGAGCACCGTGGGGACCAGCCGGTGGTGCGGGCGATTTTGCCTTTCCCTGTGGCCAGCTCCACGGAGAAACCAGTGAAGGAAACCGTCTGGAACGAAAGCAGCTCGGTGCCACGTTTTTACGCTGCGTTTCTAAAGGCGGAGAGAAGGGCTGAGAGCGCCGTTGTGCTGCTTCCCAAGCTTTTTCCAATCTTTTTTTTCTTTTTCCCCTCCCTCTGTTGGCAAATTCCTCTTTCTTTGTCTCCGCTTCGCCTTCCCTCCCGCCCCTCGCCGTGCCGGTGCCCCAGGAGGAAGGCTCCTTCGGGTGATGAAGGCGACGGCGGTTCTGTCCCGTGGGCAGATGGCTTTAGGGAGGGGGGCTGCAGAAAAAACCCTTTATTTTTTGCTCACCCCGAGGTGGCTGCAGCCGGCCCCTTTCCACCGCTGGGTGGAACAGGCAGCACGGCTCTGCCAGCGCTGGGCAGGGATGCGCCGGAGCTGTGGAAAGGAGGTGGGGGGGAAAATAATCATTTTTCTGAAGTTACGGCTTAATGAAGACATCCGTTAACAGCCGTACCCATTTCTGAAGGAGAACATCCAGGAAAACCTTGTTAATTTTTTTTTCCCCCCCTAATGAGCATGGTGGGTTTTAATGGAGGTGTTAATTGGACGTCATTAGCCAAAAGGCTCCACGGGTGGGTTCGGGTCCTGCGCGGACACCCGGAGGAGCCGGGGCAGGATCAGGCCACCAAGGGCTCGGGGCAGCTGCCCGCTGCTTCGCTTTGCTGCATGTGGGCTTTTTATTTTATTTTTTCCTCCTCAAAGACTACCGTTTATATATTCCCTCCAATTTACAACGAGGACTTTTGAGTGTTGTATCGATTTTAGCCTTAAAAGAGGCAGAAAAAGCCCGTGGATTTTTTTTCAATAATTACATATATATATATATATTTTTTTTTCTTCCAAGGGTTTTTTCAAGAGCCTATTTACAAACAGAGGAATAAATCCACCTCCGACACGCCGGCTTTGTTCCACCAGGCTTACGGGCAGGCCTGGGAGCGAGCCCCACAGCCCGTGCTCGGCCCCGCGGGAGCCGGGATTGTTCTCCTGCACAATGGCAGGGCGGCGAGGAAGCGCAGGGTCCGGCCCGCGTCCGGCCCCGCATTGTTCCCCGCCGATGTTTGCAAAAACGCCGAGCACCTGGCCAAGCCGGTGACTCATTCCCAGCAGCCCGAAAACCACCCTGCCACTTTTTTTTTTCCCTTTCCCCTTGGTTTGGTTTGTTGGGTTTGTGGTGGGACACGCAGCGGGGCGATGTCCTCGCTGCGCTCACGCCTGGCGGTGATTTTGGTCACATTTGGTTATCAAAATCGGTGCCTTTGTAGGGAGCCCCAACGTGCAAGTGATGTTTCGTAGCTCGGAAAAGCCCCCGGAGCTGCCCACGTACAGAAAATCTCGGCCTCACTGCGTGCACAGCAGGTGTTAAGGATTTAAGGATGGGGGAGACTTTTCTCCTCCTCCCCCCCATTTGTTGATGCCACACCGGTGCCGGCGCTGTTTGCAGAGGGGCTGTTCCCAAAATCAGCCTGGCAGGGTGTCCGGGCAGCGTGTGGTGAGGCACAGAGGGTGACTTAACCTCATCTCAGCCCGGCAGTGCTCACCAGCAGCTTTGCTCCTCTTTTTTTTTTTTTTTTTTTTTTTGTTGGTTTTGCTTTTTCCCCCGTTCCTTCATTTCCTATTTCTATCTGGCAGTGGAGCCAAAGTGCCACAGCAAAGCACGCTTCCAGGGGATTTGATTTCTCCTGCAGCCTTTCTGGTGAGCAGGGGGAGAGGGGAGTGCCTGCCGTGGGGTCTGGCCCCTCGTGCCCATGGGGTTGTGCCCTATTTGGGGCTTCCTCCCCGCCTGGCTCCATCCCAGTGCGCTCCCCCCGTTAAAACCAGCGCTGCTCTGCGTCTGTGTGTCCCGGCAGCGCGAGCGGGGCCACGTGGCTGGAGCCCTCCACCGGCACCGTCCCGGGGTGCCTCATCCATCACTGCATCGGCGCTAACGAGGAACCACTTCAGGCGTAATTAATAAGCACTTGATGTTGTCTAGATCGAGGGGCTACTTGCCTGGCGTGAGCGGGCGGTGGAGGGAAAGGTGCTTAATGAGCTCCTGGCAGGAGAGGGGAAGATTTCCAACCAGCGCCGAGGGGCTGTGCGGGGCACGGGGCTGCTCCAGGCGCTGGTGGCACCACGAGGTGCTCCTGGCTTCCCCATGGGGCAACATTCAGCGTCCTGGGGGCCCCCAGGGACCCCGATGGTCACAAGGCAGAAAGTGGATGCGTTCCCAAGTGGTCCACGACTGCCTGCTCCCTGCCAGCACGCCCTCGGTGCCGCCCTTTGTCCCTAAGGAGATGTGACCTTGCTTGATGCGGCCCCTTGCATCCAGATTTGCTTTTTGTTTCTGCAGCGCCTGTTTCCTGTAGTGTTTCTTAAGAGCCAAGCAGAAACGAGCTTGAGCAGGCGAAAAAAGGGGCTCACAAAAGTGACCTGGAGTTTTGTTTTATTCCCCTTGGCTGCTTTTGAGGGCAAAAATGAATTTTCCTGCTTTCCGCCGAGCTGGCAGCCCTGTGGCATCATCTGCTTTCCTTTTTACGTGTTGAGCTTTGCTTTTTCTACATGAATAAACCATTGTGGGCCAGGCTCGGAAGCTGCTGACTTTAATTTATGTGTGTCCCACGGCAGATCTAAGCCTATTTCTCCAGAGGTGAAGGGCTGGCTTAATTAACTCGCTGCGTCAACGCGACGAGACCGGAGCTGCTTGTAATTACGTTGGGCGGGCGCTCAGCTCCCAGCCTTTGGTGCGTGTTTGGAAAATGGGGTGAGTCGAGGTGGTTTAAGGCAAATGGAGAGGGCTTTTTCCTTCCGTAGATTCCTCCAGCTTCCCCGGACTGAGGACTGGGAGGCGGGGAGGCTCCATGGTAGTGTCGTGTCCCCATCGTGGTGGCACAGCAGGTATCCAGGGCCAGCTGGTCCAGGAGAAGACCTCACCCTGGTCTGAGGTTGTGTCCACGCATCCCCAGGCCACTGCGTTGATTTGTCCCCCTAGGAACAGTCGGGACGGGATGAGGGTGATAAATGCCCTCGGATCACCTCGAGCGTAATCGTAGCATCCTCCAAATGTCATTTTTTCCTACTAGGTGCAACTTCAGGTGGGCGTTTATTTGCCTTTATGGCATCTTTCATCCTCTTTAGCCTCCATACGGTCCGTGCTTGGAGGTGGCGGCATGAGGAGGAGCGCTGCCTCGCTGCTCCAACACCCTTAAAGCACCCTCGTTAGGGCTAATTGCGAAATCAACGCTGGGGGATAGCAGGGCTGGTTTTGGGGCGGGGGGCTTGGGGGACGGGGAAGTCCCCAGGCTCAGCCCAGAGGACTTAGGCGAACCTGCTGTAATTACAGGAGAGCAGTGCTAATTGGCAATAGTAACAATTAAGGGCCACGTGTTTGCGGATTACAGGAATTTGCAGAGAAGCAAAGTGATAAAAGAAACCCGAGGATGCCGGCTCGCGGAGCGGACTTTGTTCCCGTATTTTGACAGGTGTCGCTGGGCTTCCTTGTAATTAAAACAAACGAAGCCCTCACACCGACCCCCCAGTGCGCTGAAGCCAGGGGCTGTTTGTACGAAAGCCTTCCTCTTGTCATCCCCCCTCGCTCTCCTGTTGCCTGCCCTGTGGGTTCAGGTGGACGTCCTCTCCATCCTTATCCTGGGAGGCGCCCAGCACGCTCCCCGTGCTTTTCCAAGAGCAAAAAGGGCACGTGGGGATGGACCCACTGTGTGTGGGGACAGCACGGGGAGCGGGGACATTCCAGCCCTTGGCCGCGGTGGCCTCTGCTTTGGCATCCTGATGGTCACCTTCAGGGCTGGTGGCCTGTGTGTCTGCTGCCTGGCTGCACAAGCCTTTGGCTCGTGGCCCCTGCGTGCTTCCAGAAGAGGCCACAAATGTGGCACAGGCGAGGCGCTGTGGGATGCAGGGGATGGTGGTGGGTCCCTCCGGGATGCTGCCAGGAAGAGCTGGTCCTTTGTAAAGCACCAGGGCCATGTTTCAGGCCGGGGGAAGATCCCCTGAATAATCAAATCGTAAAATATTGTTTTGATTTATTCCTTTTTATCATCTTTTAATATCTGGAGAGACTGCGCAAGCAAGAGGCCTTCATGAGTTTTGAATGACAGGTTAAAGGGCTCCAATAAAGATTAGATGGGCCACTATCTCCCAAGGAAATTGCATCAAAGTGGTTACTCCTGCTTGCTCCTATTAATTTCCTCTTCATGGCTGCTAGGAGATGCCTCATATCCTGATGCGGCAGGCAGGGGCTAAGAGGCACTTCCCATTATCTCCATCATCGCCGTGTTTATGAGACACTTAGTGTGGTTCTTCGCCGCGCGGCGCCTCGGAGGTGGTGGCACCGCGGGGCAGAGCTGGGAACAAGTGGCCGTGGGGCCACCACCGTGCAGGTGACGGGGGAGCCGCCCTGGCTGGGTGGTGGCCTGGTCCCTCTGGTACAGCCAGGGAAATTTGGGAGCTCCCTTCTGCAGCCTTGTGTCTTTTGGGTGTGCTTGGACAAGGGACCCCATCTGTGTCTCTCCATCCTCACCCTCCATCACGGAGCAGTGATGATTAACGAAGCCTCCTCCCGTTAAAGGCTCGAGGGGATGATGGGGAGCAGGGACGTCCACCAGCACCCAGCAGAGCCCCAGCTCCTGCCCGTCCCATCCGAGCACAACCTCTCTGCTCTTCTCTTTGCAGCCTGCCCAGCCGGGACCTTCAAGGCCAGCCAGGGTGCGGGGCTGTGCGCCCCGTGTCCCCCCAACAGCCGCTCCAGCGCCGAGGCGTCGCCGCTCTGCGCCTGCCGCAATGGCTACTACCGGGCAGACCTGGACCCACCGGCGGCAGCCTGCACCAGTAAGTACTGGGAGAAAACTGGGGGCTGGGCTCGAGCCCCGGAGCTGTGTCTGCACTCCGCTGTCTTGTTCCTTGTCTTGTGGAGGGAGTGTTTTGGGGTGGGGGAGAGGGGTTCTGCCTGGTGGTGTGTGCCGTCAGGGGTGTTTCTGGGATGGTGGTTATGGGCTCCAGCCTGATTTTTGGTGAGGAAAGAGGCTGGGAAAGAAAAGAGGACTGCCGGTGTTCTTCAGCCTGCTGGGAGCGTGGCTCCTGGCCTCAATGCCTCCCAAACTGTCCCCCCAAAATCACCACTGACTCAGGTCTTTAAGCCAGGAGCTTTAACACCAAGATGTTACGGAATACGACCGCTGAAGATGCTCTCCCTTACCCTCATTTTCCAGACCTCACCGTTCGGCTGCAAGCTGCTGTGGGTGCTGGCCACCTCCTCTCCCACGGGGGCGCACCCCTTGTACTGAGCCTCAAAGCCCCAGTTGCTCAGTGGTGCTGACAGCGCTGCCCTCTCGCCCTGTGGCTGCCTGGGGGCCAGCACAGAGAGTGGTTCAGGGGCCGAGGATTTCTGGTCTGCATCCCCCTTGTTTTATTATTTAGGGGGTGTGGCTGGGACTTCCCATGCTGTCCCTGATCTGCAGCTCCTTAGAAGATCTGTTGTAGATGAGCTTAACCTACAGAAACCCTATTTTTGCGGGCGATGGGGTGTTTCCCATGCTGGCCACCCCACATCTTTCTCTGGAGCCTGCATGGGTTAGTGCCGTTGTGCTCGTGCCTGCTGGGATGCACCTGATGCCAAGGAGTCCCCGAGGTTCCCCTTCAGAGCTGGAAACATGTTTCCATGTGGTGCTGAATCACTTGACCTGTTGGAGCAGAAGTCGGGAGGTACAACACCTGCGGATGAATCGGTGCCTTCTTTGTGTCTCGTTACGTCGCTGATTTACAGTACTGCTTCGTGAAGGGATTACAGTATAAAAAAAAAGCCCATTTACTGATTTTATTCTTCCTTCTCATCAAAGCTTAGTTTTCAAACAGGCTAACTGGAGGTGCCAGCTGTTCACTGACGAAACTATTCTGTGTCACAGGAGTAAATGCTTCTCCATCTTTGTTTAATTTATTAGTTGATCAGTAATGGGAAATCCCCCCAGTAAAGCGGTGGCACAGCCTCGCTGGTGCCTTGAACAGGGCGGCTTCTTCCAGAAACTCTTCCCTGTTTCTTTTCTTTACTCTTTTTTTTTTTTTTTTTTTTTTTTTTTCCCAAGAGCTCTTAAAGCTCAAAACATTGCAGCTGGAAGCTGTCACCTGTGTCAGCGCTGTGGTCCTGGGTGTGCCAGGAGGGCAGTGTGGTTCTGGGGCTAAGCATGGATAACTGGGAGGTGTGCTGACGGTGCCTTGGTTTGGAAAAGAACCGTGCTAGGCAGGCAAGCAGTAATGCTGGGAGCACGAGAAGCTGGTGGCAGGAGCCTCCTTGACCAGGGCAAAAGGCTTTTTCTCCTTTTTTTTTCTTATCATCTGTTAAGGGTCAGAGGCACCTTGAGCCTACAAAATCCCTTGCTGGCAAGGATGCTGTGCTGGCAGCTGCTCGGTGACAAGCACCTTCAGCCCAGTGCTGGGGGAAAGAATTAAATGGGTGGGATTCTTGTTACTTGATTCTATTTTACTTGTTGCCTGTTGCCTCCCATTCCAGCGAATAATTCCTCCACATCCCCAGATTCCCCAACACACTTGTGGGAGGTCCCCCAGGACATTTTTCCTCTTTCAACCTCTTCTCTAAGGTCAGGTCCTCCATCATTTTTATTGCTCCCTCTGAACTCTTCCTGACGTGGAGAAGTCCTTTTTTTTTCTTCCTTGCAAGTGCAGTGCTCACACCCGCGCCCTGCTGGCACGAGTAATTAATTGCTCTCTTGGCCTTAATGTAAGGCAGCAGACAGCTTTTGGGTTTTCAGAGGTGGACCCACCCGGATGACACAGCTGTGCACTGGATTTCTCTCCCTGGTGTGGCTGGCACCTCCTTTGTTGCTCCCTATCGATCCCAGCTGCGTTTTGCCAACATACAAAATCGGTGCTGTATTTAATTCCCTTCCGAAGCATCCGCCACAGCTCCCATCTCGGTACTACCCGCGGCGTTGATCAATGAACTCTCTCGTCTGACATCCCAGCTGCTAATAAAACACTCCGACGCTGTGGGTAAATACCCATGCTCCCAACCTGAAGCGCTGAACCACCAATAACCGTTTACTATTTCTGAGTCTTTTCTCCCCTTGTTCCTGCATTTCTGTGAGGTTTTGGCTAGGTGACGTGTCAGAGTCCCAGTCTGAGCCCCCAAGCCCCTTTCTTCTGCTGGAGACAGGAGAAGATGGGGTTGGAGGTGAAGACAGGTGGAGGTGTGGATGGGGAAAGTCTGAGCCGTGTCCAATGAGGTGGTGATGTCCCTCCTGCCCAGCCCCAGAGCAGGCAACGTTTGGCACGAGGACCCGTCTCAACCCCTCTCCTTCCCCACAGGCGTCCCCTCTGGCCCCCGCAACGTCATCTCCATCGTCAACGAGACCTCCATCATCCTGGAGTGGAACCCGCCGCGGGAGACGGGGGGCCGGGACGATGTCACCTACAACATCGTCTGCAAGAAGTGCCGCTCGGACCGGCGCGCCTGCTCCCGCTGCGACGACAACGTGGAGTTCGTGCCCCGGCAGCTGGGGCTGACGGAGACCCGCGTCTTCATCAGCAGCCTCTGGGCGCACACGCCGTACACCTTCGAGATCCAGGCGGTCAATGGGGTGTCCAACAAGAGCCCCTTCCCGCCCCAGCACGTCTCCGTGAACATCACCACCAACCAAGCCGGTGAGTCGCGGGGAGCTGGTTGCGATGCCAGGGTCTGTGCCTGCTGTTTATCCCCCGCTAGATTTAGGTGGCACCAGCCCTTCCCTGCACTTCTGCAGTGGGAAGGGGGAAGTGGGTTGAAACCTGGCCCTTCCCTGCGGGGCAGGAGCACAGCAGGAAGAGGGGATGGGGAAGAAGAAGGGGATGGTAATTTCTGCTTTGTGCTGAGTGTGTAAAGCAGGCAGCCTTTGTTAACCTGCTCCCTCAGGAGACTGCAAGACAGAAACCTGGCGTAAATTTTTTAGTATCTCCCCTCCTGGGAATGCCGATCCTGTCAGACTCTTGTGTTATGTTTGCGCCTGGCTATCATTGCTGTCTTGTTAACCATGTGCAAGCAAACCTGCTCCTTGCACTGAGACCTTTTATTCTGGGGTGCGTTTTGGAGGAGTATTTTTGCTGCCCCCTGCTCCTCCATCCTTGCAAGTCCCCTTCATCTTCCCAGCTCTGCTTTCCTGGAGCTCGTGTGGCTCTGCCTCCTGGTCTCCCTTTCTTTCCTTCTCCCCCTCTTGCTGTGTTTGCCTTGTGAATGCTGTGTGCCCCCCTCCCCGCTGCTCTCGGCACTGATCCTGGCTCTGCAGTGAGCTTTTCTACCTGGTTTCCAAGTGGCCTTGTGTTTGCGCATGGCCGGATCAACGCAGGTTGGTTGGTGTTGGCTCGCCCCAGTTGGGCTCTGGGCGTTTGGGCACAGCATCAGCCCTGTCATAGACAGGCAGGAACGTGGGGGGGCTGGGAATGCGGCAATTAACAGCACAGCAATCAAGCTAAGTGTTTAAATTCAGAAAATGAATGTCTTGGAGTGAAAGTGGAAAAGATTTAAGGGGAAAAAAAAGATTAAACATGCTGGATAAACAAAAGCAGCACCGGACTGTCGACATCTCCTGCAGCACGGTGCAGGCGTGCCACTCGTTCTGATGTGCTGAGCGGGAGGGAGCGATTATCCTCCCTCCTTTGTCCTGAGCACGGTGACCCTGTGTGGGTCACCTTGGCACAGCTGCAGTTCAACAGGGCCTTGGATACCTTTCCTGGAAGCTTTTGGTAGGAAGGAGGGCATGATTAGGGCCACGCTGCCTGGCTCTGGCTCTTTCACTTGCACCTTGGAGGGCAGCAGGTCTGGGGTGGTTTGAGTCCGTGCTGCAAGTTTGGGCTTTGGAAATGGAGCTCGTTGGAGGCTGGGTGCTGCGGCTCAGTGCTCCTGGAGAGCCCCTAAGAGCAGAGCCAGCAGTGAGCAGTGGATGCAGGCGCCACAACCAGGTGTCCCTTGGTGTGCTGGGGTCACGTCCTCAACTGCCTCAAGTTACAGAGCGTGCCCAGGGAGCAGGAGCACTGAGGATTTCCAGATTCCTAATTAAAAAGAGTAAGTGGTTTAAATACCAGAATTCCCCCGCTGGCACACCGCTCGGGCTCTGTGTGAGCTACTGCACTGCTGCTCTTCCCACCGCCAGACGGGGACCTTGTCCCGTGGGGCCAACAGCCGCAGGCGTGAGAACCAGGAGATGGGTGTAAATGAGAGCTTCCACCCTCCCCTGGCGCTCAGTCCTACCCCTCGGCGTTAATTTTCCGCCCCCTCCCTTGGCAGCACCCTCCACCGTCCCCATCATGCACCAGGTGAGTGCCACCATGAGGAGCATCACGCTGTCCTGGCCGCAGCCCGAGCAGCCCAACGGCATCATCCTGGACTACGAGCTGCGCTACTACGAGAAGGTGAGCCGCATCTGCACGCCCGACGTCAGCAACGCCGTGGGCTCAAGGCCAGCAACGGTAAGCTCGGGTGGAAACCTCACCGCGGAGGGTGGGCAGCACGACCTTCCTGAAATGTCCATCGCTGCCTGCTCCAGCTGACCCCTTTGTCTCCCGGCCCTACCCACAGGACCACAACGAGTACAACTCCTCCATGGCCCGCAGCCAGACCAACACGGCCAGGATCGAGGGGCTGCGCCCCGGCATGGTCTACGTGGTGCAGGTGCGAGCGCGGACGGTGGCTGGCTACGGGAAGTACAGCGGGAAGATGTGCTTCCAGACACTGACTGATGGTGAGCGAGTGGCCGGGGTGCAGGGGGGGAGGAGGACACGTTCCCAGCTGCAGCTTCAGGCTCTAATTGGATTAAATGAACTTGTCTCTGCGAACCTCTCCCCCAGCGGGCAGCATGGCAAAAACCAGGTGATTTACAGGGATGTCTTATTAATTGCCAGCTGGAGGAGTAATCTGCTGTAAATCTCCTATCTGTGTTTGTTCCCCTGTTATTTAGCTGTGGTTTCGTCTTTCCTGCATCCATCCGTGGTGTTGGGGCTGGGTGCTCTCCAACCCAGTCGGGTCCCCTCCCTGCTCTCATTTCTCCGGGTGTTTGAGTCGTCCCTCCTATAAATCAGTCCTTCCAGCCCTTTCATCAGTTTTATTGCTTTTCTCTGAATAATGTCAATAAAAGATGCAGAGAGCAGAACAGATGGATGGAAAAGAGCCATGCCTTTTCCTGCCCCAGGTCATCATCCATGGTGTGCTCAGCATGCTGTGGTGGGGAGGAGCGGAGGGGTGCAGGCCCCCCAAAAGGATGTGAAGCTGTCCTGAGGTGTTTGGAGCCACAGCTGTGTCCTTTCAGGCAAACCTTGAAGGCTCAGACCCATCTCTCCTGGGGTTCCTCCCCCAAGGTGGTACACTGGAGGAAAGGGCAAGTCACAACCTTCACGGTGTCTTCTGGCCTCCTCACCAGAGTCTTGCTCTCATTCCCCTTCCCAGTGAGTGGACTCCCAGAAATACTGCATCCCTTTAGGCACTAATAACTCATGGGATGGCTTTTCATCACTCCTGGCTTTGGAACAAATGCAGGAGTCAGTGAGTGGAACAAGGCTGTTTTCTTGGTCCTTCGGCCCCTCTAGAGGCTGAAGTCCCTGCAGAGAGCCCTTTTTCTGTTGCTCTCAGCCCAGCTGTGCTCCAGCTAGGTGACACCCGTGGGTCCCAGCCCACTGGTTCACCAACCTCTGCAGGCTGGTGAATGCCCAGCGCCAGGGCTACAAAACTGCAGGAGCACTGGCTCCCCAGGGAGCCTTGAGAGAACCTGACTTTGAGGTCAGGCTGCGTGACAAACAACCGTTTAATATCTTTGTCAACGCAATTAAAGTTGCCTTTGGGTTGGCCACGTCTTGGTTATGAGAAATGTGTCCTGCTGTGATGAGATGGGGTCTGCAGTTGGACTGTCTTGGGGTGGGACAGTGCCTTGCAGGCACTCCATGACCCCAGCCCCAATCTCCACCCTGGCATCTCCAAACTCGTGGTTTTCCCAGTCCGGGGCAGGAACCAGCCAGCTGCAGGATGCTCAGAGCAGGGCATGTGTTGGGCAAGCTTCTGGCAGCAGGGAGAAGAGGGAAAAGCACACAGGGGACTGAAAGGAAGGAAATGGTAATAACCCCCCAGTGCCTTCAAGATCCAGGATTAGAGAAGTGAGAAGAAAAACCCTGCCTCAAATAAGCAATTAATTGAAATTTAATAAGAATGGATATTGTAGATTATTAAATAATAATTGATTGTTAGAGGAGAATTTCTTCGGATTTGAGCAGCATGCAAGGGAAAAATCTAGCTGCTGGTAATTAACTGCAGAGCAGAAAAATACAGATAAAAGGGTGTTAAATACTTCCTTTTGGAGTGAATTTTATTTTCATCCCTGCTTGTGGCTTCTGGCATGAGCGACAGGCAGGACTATGCTGGTTAGTTAGGTATTGCTCCGCAGACCTAAATGCAAACAGGTCAAGCCTGCTTCTCATTTACACCAACATCCTCTTGCTTTAATGTGGCCTGAAGTTAGGTACAAAAATCAAATGAAAGCGGCCTTGTCTTGAATGAGGTTTGCTGTTGAGTCTGATGCTCTAAGTTGTACCTCTTCTCTGGAGGGTCTCTTCCCCACCTGCTTTCCTGGAACGTTTAGGAGCTCTGTGAGACCCCATGTTAAATTTGGATGAAATGACGAACGGGTCTAAATTTATTGAGCGAAGGCGCGGCCAAAGTCACCCTGTAAACTTCTCCCCTTTGGAAAACTGGACCTAAGCTCTGCTGGTTTGATTTCATTCCTAGGACCTTCTCTTCAATATTTTTAACCCTTGCTGATCACCCTTCCCATGGGAGCAGTCCCCGTGGGGATGTTTTGGGAGCTCTGCTCATTTCCAGGGGCTGCGAGGGAGGGCTCACCTTGTCCTTTCTCTCCTGCAGATGACTACAAATCCGAGCTGAGGGAGCAGCTGCCGTTGATCGCGGGGTCTGCAGCGGCTGGGGTGGTCTTCATCGTCTCGTTGGTGGCCATCTCCATAGTCTGCAGCAGGTGAGAATATGGAGGAGCGGCTGGAAGAGATTGGGTGCAGGAGGGGAGGGATGGGGAAATCACTCAGGATGCCATCAGCAGAGAAGGGAGCTGGAGGTGGTCACCACGGTGTGGGCAAAGGCACCAAGGTGCAGGCTGCCTGTCGGGGGGTGGTTTGTGGCACTGCTCACGCAGTTTTCTGGTCTCTCCTCCCAGGAAGCGTGCGTACAGCAAGGAGGCCGTGTACAGCGATAAGTTACAGCACTACAGCACCGGGCGAGGTGAGCAGGACAGGGGAGAGGGGTCGGGGTGGCTTTGTGGGGTTGTGGTACCGCTGGTGGGGAGGGAGAAGAGTGAGCAGTGGGGGAGGATCCAGGGGATGGAGGAGGATGCTGTGAAGGCTCCCAAAGGGAAGAAGAGGCAAACTGATCATAAAGGAGCAAAGCAGCAGCTCCAGGTGGTAATTGTGACCCAGCCCTCAGCTCCTGCACAGACCTGGCACACCAGGCTTACAGCTCTGTGCATCATGAGCACCGGCAAACCCCATTTACACCCTCCTGAAAAAGTCTCCCAGGTGGATTTGCTTCCTTTCAGAGGACTTGGTGCCTGGGACAAATGAGATCAGGCTATTAGAAATTAATTGATAAGAGCTGATGGGGAAATATGCCCAGGTTTGTGAGCAGATGGCAGGGAGGTGCCCATGTGGGGTTATATAGGAAAAAGGTTGTATATTGCATTTTTAATTGTATCCTGGCTGGCAGCAGTCCCTCTGTGTAGCCTTAGAGGGGTTTTGCTGTGCATGTAGGAAGAAATCTCCATTGTGGGGCTGGGTCCTTCTGAAATACAACCCACACAGATGCAGCGAAGCTGGGATCCAGCCTGGGAGAAAACAGAGCAGTCAGTGCCAGGGCTGGGTCTCCCCTGGGGATTTGGGGCTGGCAGCTCCAGCATGGCAGGGCTCAAAACCAGGTAGAAAACTGGTGAAACAGGTCTTGGTATTTTATATATGACCGGGAAAAACCCGGTCAAGGTTAGCAAGCCTCCGGGCGCGTGGTTGTTGCACGTGCCCAAGCAAAACAGGTGGGAGATTTGTGGCGAGCGACTAATGGGGAGATGAGCTCAGCAGCGGAACAAAGCCGCTCGTTTAACGGCACGGCAATTAGAGCATCCTCTTACAGCTCCGTGTGTGCCCGAGGGGTGTCTGTGCTGGGGCTGGTAACTTCAGAGTTAGAGGTGGTGAGAAGTGGGCTGCAATTTCTTGTGCCTCGTCCCTGCGTGATACTTTGAGAGAGCCTACGTGCAGAAGGTGCCCCGCAGCATTCTGTAGGGATAGAAAAAACAACCAATGGCCCAAGGTGCCCAAGTCATGCTCGCTTGGATGGGATGGGAAATGCGAGTGCCTTAGGGAGATTTGGGGGGGGGGAGCTCAACCTGGTGTTTGCTGAGCCTGGAGTACATCAGAGGGTGTTTAAAAGCCAGCCTGCATTGAGAGCGGGCAGGAAACTTTGGCGTTATTTTTCTCCTTTATTTATTCAATTTTTTGATCGGTGAGTCAGTCTTGGTTACGATCCTGTAAATCCCTTTGTAATCCTGGCTGGAGCATCAGCTGCTCTTGTAAAAAAATTTATGGGGCAGTTAAAGTGTACGAGACAGAGCCGTAAAGGGATTTATGAACTGGGAGATGCACAGATGGCTTCATTGCAGTTGTCGTCACCCGCCCCGGAGGTGCAGAGCTCCTGCCCCAAACACCCCCGCTGTGGAGCAGGCGATGCCATGAGCCACGTGTTCAGCAGCTTTAGTGATGCCCTGGCCAGTGCCGGCCCTCCAGGTTAACCTTGAGGACCAAGTGTCCCCTGCACCGACATGCTTTTAGGGTCGGGATTTACTGTCGCCATCCCCTGCCCTTCCTGGGTTGTGGTCTGGCCTGAAGGCAGTGCCCGTGTCTCCCCGTGGTGCGGCCGGATCCTGCTGCCGCCCAGCAGGGACAGATGAAAGGCCAGCAAAGCCGCACTTTTATGGCTCCATACAGGTTTTTGATTATAATTGCTGCACTCTGTCAATTTAGTGGCAGCCACAAAACTATCAGAGGCCTTTTTGGGTAAATAAATATTTCTTAAATAATGCATCTCGCCTCATAAAGTTGCCAATTCCCCTGCCATAAAAACCGCTAATTGTAGTTGCGGTCTGTCGGTGTCCCTGTGAGCTGGATGCTCATCGGTGGTTCCTGCCTGCCTCGTTCTCTCTCCTCTCCCCTTCTTCAGCTTCTGCTCCCTCCTCTAACCTTGCTGGAAGGGACAAAAGAGGAACATAGTGGGCTGTTGGAGGTGGTGTGGAAGAGCACATAGCAGCTGATTTAATGGACATGGGGAGGGGAAAGTGTGAGAACAGTCTTCAGGTCTTGGCCATGGCACAATGACTTCTGGTTTTTCCACTTCTCCCGTGTTTCTCATGACAAGGGTCTCCAGGGATGAAAATCTACATCGACCCCTTCACTTATGAGGACCCCAACGAGGCAGTCCGTGAGTTTGCCAAGGAGATCGACGTCTCCTTTGTGAAGATCGAAGAGGTCATTGGAGCAGGTGGGTCCCCACATACCCACCTCCCTGCCCTCTCCACTCCTCTTGGGTGGATACCTGTGGACCTGGGGCAGTTTTCTGGGGGCTGCATGAATGGTTCTTTGCTGGGAAATGCACAACCCTTAATGAGGCCTCGGGATATCAGCCTTTCATGCGTTTTTGATGGATTAGGGGATATGAGGTTGATTTCTGCTCTCAAAGTAAGTTCCTCTGAGATTGGGAGGAACTCTGTTAATGTATTTGCTGGGTGACCGTGGGATTTCCTAGTTTGCTTCCATGAGGTAATAAGAAGAAGCCAGATCTCTTTCCAGTCTGTGCCATATTCCCATACATATGTATATGTACACATGCATACACGTATCTGTAAGTCATCTGTGCTGCTTTTATTGCAATTTTTAAATGACTGTGTCGTACTTGTAGAAGAGAGTGCGAAGCTGGGGGAAAGCCACAAGGAAGCAGTGAGCTGTTTCAGTCGGGATCAAGTTCAGCAATGTATCAGCTGCCTTTTGCTGCTCATCAAGGCAAAGCAGCTATAAGCCTGGCTTAAATGTAATCCCTCCGCAGACAAATTTCACCTTGGCGAAGGAAAAGCTCTCCCGGTGGAAACAAGAGGGAGCCTTCTCTGCGTTTTAAATCAGAATGCAGCAATGAAAATAGACCAGTTATTTTCCATCCCTAGATAAACGATGTGCAAAAAGGTGGCCGCGATTATCGACGTTGACACCTTGCACTTGAAGGAGCCCTTAGAAGTTTGAGTTCCGCCAACGTTCCCTTGGGATTCACAAGAGCAGTCCCAGGCTCCACGGTGGTCGGTGATGGGCTCTGGCAGCCTGGAGAAGGCTGCAAGCCCAACCACGTCCTCAGCACCTTTCAAAGAGGATGAGCACGTAGACTTGTGAGCACCATTAGGTGTCAGCGGGTTGAGAGCACCGTTGGGTGTCAACTGGTTGGTGTTTTTCAGCCGCTTGGTTTGGAGCTCCAGGTACTGTTCTGTGCAGTTGTATATGGAGGTGGTAATGGATGGTCTTGCACTTGCAGGGGAGTTTGGAGAAGTGTATAAAGGCCGCCTGAAGCTACCTGGCAAGCGGGAGATCTACGTGGCCATCAAAACGCTCAAAGCTGGCTACTCGGAGAAGCAGCGCCGGGATTTCCTGAGCGAGGCCAGCATCATGGGGCAGTTTGATCACCCCAACATCATCCGGCTGGAAGGGGTGGTGACCAAGAGCCGACCTGTCATGATCATCACTGAGTTCATGGAGAATGGGGCCCTGGACTCCTTCCTACGGGTAAGGCGACGTGGGGCTGTGCCAGCTGTTGGTCAGCCACAGGATTTGGGGTTCAGGCTCTGTTGCTCCATCCTGACCTCATGCTTGCTCTTTCTGATCGCAGCAAAACGACGGGCAGTTCACGGTGATCCAGCTGGTGGGGATGCTCAGAGGAATTGCAGCTGGGATGAAGTACCTTGCAGAGATGAACTATGTCCACCGAGATCTGGCAGCCAGGAACATCCTGGTCAACAGCAACCTAGTGTGCAAAGTGTCAGACTTCGGGCTCTCGCGCTACCTGCAAGACGACACGTCCGACCCCACCTACACCAGCTCCTTGGTATGTACCTCGCGTCCTGCAGCAGCAACCCCACCAGCCTCCTGATGATCCCCTACCACCATGGTAAGGGATCAGCCCCTCTCGCAAGGGCTCTGGGCTTGAGAGCAGCTTGGGTGGGTGCTCAGAGGGCTGGTCCACCTCTTGTCTCTTCTTGCTGCCTTCCTTCCATCAGCAGGGAAGACTCTACTGCTCAGCTGCTGCCTTGTTTGGGAAGGCTGACTTTCCTTGTTCTTATTCCCTTTTTCATTATCCTCTTTTTCTTCCTTTCTCTTCCTCCCTTTTATGAGTTTTCTGTCTCCCTTGTCTCCAAAGCACCTTTCTTTTCTGTCCTGACCGTGCCGTACGAAGGGGTTAGGTGGAACCAGGGAGACATCAGTAGGCAGTGTCTGCGCTGCATAAAGCCCTGCCAGCAGGCTGGTGAGGCTGTCAGCGGCGTTATGGATGAGCAGACAAGAAGGCTGTGAGTGCCCTGTTGACCTGCTGGGCTCTCTAATTGATTAATCACTTATTAAAAGAGCTAATAACCTTCCTAACTCCTTGCAAACAATTCATAATACAGGGGTCTAACATGTGGCAGGGTCAGGCCTGGAAGAAGGAGAATGGAGGCAGTGCCTCTTCTCCAGGCAGACGTCAGGGCAGCGAGCAGGGCCATGGGTTGGGTGCAAGAGCGAGGATGCACGTCCTACACCAACCCCTGCAAAGCAGTTTCTTGGGCTGCCAAGCTGTGCCCAGGCGTGCTTCGGCGTGATGTAGCTTACAACAGGAGCCCCAAGGAGATCAGACTGTTAGGATTTCATCAAATGGAAATAAACGGATCAAGTGAGTCACGCCACAGCCAGGGGGGTTAAAGCGAGCTGCGGGGTTTCTGGCTGGGCTCGGGTCTGCTCCTGCTCCCTGCCCAGACTCGTCCTGCAGCCATTGAGCAGAAATGCATCAGGTTTTTTGTTTGAAGACCCCAGCAGTAGCTGCTGGGAAGAGGCCTGGAGTAGCCTTTTCCCACCTTTAGAGATAAAAGAGATTATCTCATCTGTGTTTTTATTTAATTTAGGCCATAATAGATCTCCTCGGCAGCTGGGAAATGATGCTGTGCCTGCGATTACATCACTCTGCCTCCCACAGCAGGTTTCTAGCTCTGGGGAAAAGGCAGGAAAAACAACCTAGCAGTTAATTTCTCCATTTGTAGTTATTCAAATCAAATTTTTGCCATTCAGCCTTAAAGAGCAGCTGATGCTTCATTGGAAAGGCTACGGAAAACAATTGTGCTCAACGATTTACAATGCAGTTCTGCCCCGAGCACATACCACGCGTTTCTGTGTTGTGTTTTTTTTTTTTCTTTTCCCCTCTGTCCCTTGGCTTTCTGCTAGAAGAGCTGGGCTGTGCTTCACTGCAAGGCACTCACTGGCTTGAGCAGGATGTGTGCGTAGGCTGCTGAGGCCGGGGTGCTCACCAGCTCCTGTTCTTGGCAGGGTGGGAAGATCCCCGTGCGGTGGACGGCCCCGGAGGCCATCGCCTACCGCAAGTTCACATCGGCCAGCGACGTCTGGAGCTACGGCATCGTCATGTGGGAGGTGATGTCGTTCGGGGAGAGGCCCTACTGGGACATGTCCAACCAAGATGTAAGTGCTGGGAGTTCGCTGAAAAAAAAAAAAAAAAAAAGGGCAAGAAAAAAAAAAAGCCCTGCCCAAATGGAAACCGAGGGGTCAAGGCAGTGCTGGAGATGCTCCAGACCCCGTCGCCTTGGTTTTTGAGATGAAACAGGCTGGCGAGCGAGAGGGATGGCGGGAGGGAAGCTGGGAAGAAAAGCCAGTGGGCTGGTAATTGGACTTCAGGAAGCTGCAGTGCCTTTGAAAATGTTCAGAGGGTTTGTGAGCTGGGAAAGAGCTTTGGTAGTGCGACTGCCGTACTCCAACGCGATCCGCCGAGATAACGAGTGGCAGCGCTCCGCCGCGAGGAGCTGCGGCGCGCGGAGCATCAGAGCGGAGATTAACCTCCTGTGGCATCTCCTCCCGCCTGCTTTGCCGGCAATCACGGCCCGGCAGAGCTGCCTGCACGTCGCTGTGCCACATTCTCATGCTCTGCCTTGCTCCCCGCAGGTCATCAACGCCATCGAGCAGGACTACCGGCTCCCGCCGCCCATGGACTGCCCGGCCGCCTTGCACCAGCTGATGCTGGACTGCTGGCAGAAGGACCGCAACACCCGGCCTCGCTTCACAGAGATCGTCAACACCCTCGACAAAATGATCCGCAACCCGGCAAGCCTCAAAACTGTGGCTACCATCACCGCTGTGTGAGTCCCCCAGCGCCTGGCTTCCCTCCCTCCCTCCCCAGGGATGAGTTCGGGAGTCCCGTCCTCACCCTGGTGCCTCTCTCTTCCCTTCCAGGCCTTCTCAGCCCCTCCTCGACCGCTCCATCCCCGATTTCACTGCCTTTACCTCAGTAGAAGACTGGCTGAGCGCCGTCAAGATGAGCCAGTACAGAGACAACTTCCTGAGCGCTGGCTTCACCTCCCTCCAGCTGGTCGCCCAGATGACATCTGAGTAAGTCCAGTGCCTCTACATGGCACCAGCTCGCGGGGTTGCTCAGCAGGGCTGTCCACTGATGTCCCTCTGTCTGTCTGTCTTCCAGAGACCTCCTGAGAATAGGGGTGACTCTGGCTGGGCACCAGAAGAAGATCCTGAACAGCGTCCAGTCCATGCGAGTGCAGATGAGTCAGTCTCCGACCTCGATGGCGTGACGTCCCTCGCTCGACGGGGAGGGGACGGGGAGGGCAGGCGGCGGAGGCGGGAGGGGAGGAGCTGACGGAGCCGCGGTGCGACGGTCGGAGAGGGGCGGCCGCAGCTGGGGGCTGCGCCTGCCGGCGAAGGATGCTCCTGGGACTGGCCTTGGCCTGGTGACTCCCGTTCCTCGCCTACAGAAGCACACTTACCGATGTCACGGGGAATGGCATATAAATAAGTATAAATATGTACAAATAGTATATTTAAAAATGACAAAAAGACAAAACCACACACAAAAAAAAAAAAAACACAACCAACCGACAATGAAGACAAACCAATGTACGTTGGGGAAACGAACCCAAATCCTAGAGACCAGACTCCACTCCCACCGCCAGTGAGCAGGAGTCAAAACTGAGGCGGAGGAAGGGGCTGTTGGGGAAGGGAGAGGCACCAGATTGAGTTCCCCGACTGGAGAAGCCACCGGCAGCGACCGCCTTCCTTCCTTTCTGCTTCCTTTGCTCTTCCTCCCTGCCCCGGCCCCTCCTGCTGCCCCCGCTCCCTTCTGTGCTCACGGCCTGGTGGAGCTCCTCGGCAGCCTCCGCAGCTGCCCCCGTCGTGTCCAGGTGTCGCTCTGCCAACTACCAAAGGACTTCGCTGACCGCTGCAAGGGGGGGGATCCGACTCAGTCCAGTTAATGTCTTCATATTGAAGAAGAGATGTACCTTCAATAGAAAAACCTTGGTTTTTTTCTTTTGCTTGCATTTTTTTGCAAAAAGGAAAAACAACAACAACAACAACAAAAAAAATCCATCATGGAAAATGGAAAGAGGTGTTCCCGTGTGTGTGTGTGTGCGTGTGCGCGCGTGTACTTTGTCAACCTACCGTGGACTCGCTGCTTGTCCGTGCTCGGAGGTCGCCACCCACCCGAAGGCAGTGGGCGGCCAGGTCCCAGGCCTGGAGCCGTGCCTGGAGCCGGCAGAGGCCCCAGCGAGGCCGGCGCTCAGCGTGGCGCAGGTGGGACCAGGACGAGGAGGATGCGAGGGGCCAGCGGGGACAGGACTGGAGGAGCCGCAGCGCGTGGGTACTGGGTTGTGGAGGAGGAGGAGGAGGAGGAGGAGGAAAGATGCTCTGGGGAAGAGACTGATGAGGCCTCCAGAGCCTCGGGGATCTGCAGAAGATGGCTACGGAGAACTTTATTTCCCCCATCTTGTGGACCTAAGGATTTTGATATTGGGTTACAGACTTGGGTTTCATGGCTTCAGAGGTAGGTCCATTTGTCTCGTGTACTTCTCTGTCTGTCCATCCTTCTCTGTGTTTTTCTGCTTACTTCCTCGAAGCCTCTTCCAGTGAATATTTCAGTGTTTAATTTGATATTTTTTTTTTTCCCGACCGCTGATCTCCTTTGCAAATTGATCTAGTTAAAATTACTAGACGCATGTCAGTGTTTACACAGAATATTGTAAGTCTGGGCAATCTAACTTCCCTCTGCGGACTGCGCGGAGAGTTTATAAAATGAATGAACTCTTAATAAGGCTTTTACTTAGACGGCTGTGTGCGAGTTGTAACGATCCATCACCGCGCCTGGCAGCCGGAACGGGGCTCCCCGTGCCCTGAGGGCTGTGGGTCCCTGTCAGGAAGATCTTGGGGCTGCCTGGTACCTCCCAGCCCTACCGGGGTGCCTCAGGTGTCTGTAAGATGCCCGTCCCCTGCGTCTGTCCATGCTGTGGGGTGCCCCGTGTCTGTCTGTCCAAGCGTGTGGCTTGGGGGGATGTGGGCTGACACTGCTGGCAGGAGAGGGTCCCACATGTTGGGGAGCTCTTTACTTCGGGTTTTTCTTCCCAATCGTCTAAGGAAACATCCTGCCGTGCTGCCGGAGAGCGGGAGCGAGCAGCAGGACTGAGCTTGTTTCGAATCGCTGAGCTCCCTCCGGAGAAAGAGGCAGAGAAAAACACCCCGTGTTTACAACGGCGGGGACTGCTCCTGGCCTGTCAGATAGACGATTGCTGGTACCTCTCGGGATCCTCGTGGCCTGAATCTGTATTCCGGGATGTTGTCGCAGCGCATACAACATGCAGATGGAGCGGGCGCCGTGCATGCTAACGCGCCGCCTCGCCACCTTGGTATTCACCGCAGCTGATGGATCCTTTGTGTTTTTTTTTATCACTTCTCTTTTACCAAAAGGAAGCTAAAGGCATTTAAAGGGACAAACGGCAGTGACACAGGGTAAATATCAAAACTCCCCCTTTGTGGCTGCTCTGCCTCGCTCAGTGTCCTTCTGCTGCCCGCCTGGGGCTGGAGGGATGCCGTGACAGCACCGCTGCCTGTACCTAACCTGCAGCCCACACCTCCTGGGCTGTGCTGGGACAGGCCATTCCCAGCCCCAGCTCTTCTCACTGGTCCTTGCTGTGGTGGCACTGGGCCTGGAGATGTCCCCTGTGGTGTTACACGAGAGCCCAGGGCTCAGCAAGGAGTCTGAGGATGGCGTGAGCAATTCCTCCAGGGCTGAGGCACGGCTGGTGAAGGGGTGGCTATCTGATGCCCAAAGGTGGGCCACCTGGTCCCATGCCTTCAGAGACTTTGGACGCTTCTTTTCCTCTTCAGACATAGCTGGGATGCAAACGTTGGGGCCTGAAGCATTCCCGGCACCACCAGTGATGAGCAAGTCTGGCTGACAGTTCCTGACTCTGGATTTAGAGGGGGTTGTAAGCAAGCAACGGCATTGTCCATATTGTTCAAGAGGTTCCTTCCATCAGCGATGGATGGAGAAGCTGCCCAGACACTCCAGCTGGGGCAGGAGGCTCTGCCTTGCTCTTGCTTTTTCTTCGGACCCAGGAGGAATGTGTATTCGGGTCAGGTGGATGCTTTGCAGACTGAGAGGGACTCTGCCAAATGGTTTCAGCGAGGAAAGAACCCTCCCCAAAACCCCAAACCAAAACCAAAAGCTCCCATTTCACATCATCTGCTCTGTGTCGTGCTTGGTGTTCCTTTCCTCGATCCTAAATCAGAAGGGGTGTCTCGGAAATATTTTTTTTCCCTGAAGTTTCACTTTGCATAGGAAATAAGAGGGGGGAAAAATGGCTTTTCTCATCAAAACAAAGTGCCTCCCTCTCTGCACTGACCTTTCCTCGGGCTGAGGGTTCACCCAACCCACCTGGTGCTGGCTCTGGGGGTCCTTCATCACTGGGTGCCACCCGGACGGATCCTGGCCCTATCCCTGCTCCTCACCCCTTGCCATCACAGCCGTGCTCTGGGGCTCTCGGCTCCTTCTGCGCCTTCCTGCAGCAACTGCCAGGGGCCCGGGGGCGAGAGCCCCTCTGCGGTTTGGATGCTTTGTTCCCCCTCTGGAACTTGCTGCTCCTTTCCCAAAGCGCCGTCCCCGGCGGGGAGGAGGCGCTGGCTCAATAGCGGTAATTAAACCAGCCAAGGGGAGCCCAGCGTGGCCAGGGCAGGAGCGGGGACGAGGTGCACCCGTTAATAGCAGCATTGTGTGCCTCTTGCCAGAAAAAAAAAGAGGAACGCGCTTTGTGCCATTTAATGACCTTCAAATTAGCAGTTCTTTGAAAGCGCTTATGTATATTTAATTTTAAATGTTGCCGCAAGTCAGAGCGGGGCTGGCAATGAAAGCAGCAGGCGGCCGGTTTTTAACTAAGAGCAAGCCCGGAGTGGTATTTCCGAGCCCGGCAGCGGCTGCGGCCCCCTCCCCCTGCACCGAGGAGCCTGGTCTGGAGGGATGGGACGGACACATTGTTGTTTGTAAGGGGCTGAATCGAGCCTTTGAGGCATAAAGAACAGCCTGTATATTTGGGATACCCTCTGTTCCTGCTGGAAAAAAAAAAAAAGGATAAAACATCAAGCAGCTTCTAAGGTGAGAAATGGATTTACAGAACCAGCAGTGGAGTTGCAAGCTCTCGGGGCTGCGTTGTGACTCCAAGGCCACCCTGCTGTCCCTGTGACACCCTGTTAAAATGCCGATGGGAAGGCAGGGCATCAGGTCAGGGTTTCACATCCACCTCGTGTGTTCATCCACGTGCTCTGCATCCCCTTCTCTGGCGGGGTCCCCACGGCACAAGGAGCTGCAGGAGGTCACACAACGTCCCTGTTGGCATCGTCTGCTTTGGTGCCCCATTTATGGATGCTCCTGCCAGGGTGGATGCCTGTCTTGGTACAGCTTGGGTGCCTCCAAGATGATGCTCCAAGAGATGGAAGGAGACCTTTCTGGGTGAGGCTCCTTTCTGTTTCGGAAGAGCCTGAAGGAGCCTGAAGCACCCCAAGCAATGATGGGGCAGAGGCACCTTCCCCATAGCCCACCTGTGCTGGTGGGACTCCCTCGGCATGGTCTCACCCCACTGCTCCTGGCCCCACAAATTGCACTCTCTGCGTGTCCCAGCTGAGCTTGCCCTTCTCCAAAACCCCTCGGCTGCCTTGTCCTGCTCTCCTGTTTCTACTGCCTGTGGGTTTTGGCTCTGCATCCATCTCTTGGGGGGGTTCTGCTGGTTTGGGTCCATGTTTTGTGTGGCAGCAAGAGGAGGAGAAGCCGGCTGCTCTGCTGGTGGCGTGGCTGTGGATGGGGTCACTCTTCGGCTCACAGAGGTTAATCCAAAGAAATCAGCTGCGTGAATTGTAAGTGGATTAGCTGAACGAGCTGGTTCCCAAAACAGGCGCGCCCTTCCAGGGCGGCCGCGGAAGTGGATTAGGCAAAAATCTGCTTACGGCCGCATTAACTCCGGGTAAGCGTTGGGGGGGATTAGCGCAGCTTGTGTTATCCACTTAAAAAATGAATTTGAGTGAACTTTTCTCCGCGTTCCCAAACAAAGAAGCCTCGGTCACTTCTTCGTTCCCATTTCTTCTCCCTTGCCCATCTGTCTGGCACGCACGCTGCCTTTGCCTGGGCACTTTCTTGGGCAGCAGCTTTCCCTGCTGCTTATCCCCAGGGTGTTGTTAGGCGATTGAACCTTCGTGCCAAGGTGGGGAGAAAGGGCAAGAAAATTATGGTCAACATCAGTGCAATTATCAACACCAATTAACGCTGAGCAGGACTGGCAGCTGGAGATGCAGCCCATGCCAGAGGCTGCCCCCTTCCCTGGGGAGGGCTGGTGGGAACGGTGTGCACCCTGCAAGTAGCACCTGGGAATAACAGGTGTTTGCACTCTGCTTGGTCTTGGGCATCTCGGATGTGCAACAGACTTTTTGAGTTTTTTTAGGCTGCCCGACCTCCATCAGTGCCCTGGGGCTGGTGTGCTGCTGGAGGTGATGCTGATGCTCATGGTGCCTCCCTTGCAGGATGGGTTTTCCTCTCAAAAACGTGTGTGCAGCTGGATCCCTGAGTGTGGCACCAAAAATGGACCCTGGTACATAATAAATGCACAGCAATAACTTTACCCCAAACACTGCTTGCTTTTCTTTCTGTCTGTCTTCCTGATGTTCTCTCTGTCTTTCTGATAATCTCAGTGTCTCTTCCCCTTCCTGGTGTGTCCCCTTTTCTGCTAAGCACTAAATAACTAAATAAAAGTTTTATTACTACCTGGATTTGCTGGAAATGATTTTCATTCAGCAGAATGATGAATTTTAATAGGAGCAAAATGTCAGCCACAGCTGGAATTTTTTTTAAAAGCACTGACACATTCGTGCAGAGGTGCCCTGGAATAATTATGGCAGTGATCCCCGGTTATCGGCAGCCAAGCAAGGGGTGCAGTGGTCAATGGTATTGTTATTTAATGTAGTGGCTTTATGCTTCCGAGGTGCAATTCTGTATTAAAAGCATCGTTGCCTCTTGGAAGGGGCTAAGAAATGGGATTTTGCTGCTGTGCGGTGCTTGGTGGTTGCTCTCTGGGTCTGTGGGCCTTTCCCTCAGCAGCAGAGAAAAGCAATGGTTGCTGATACTTTGGAAGGAGCAGTTTTTGGTGCTTGACTGCTGGCTTCTGTGTTAGCCCCAGGGGTGCTTCTATTGCAGTGTGGGGAGGGGAAAAGCACCTTTTGGGGGGTCACTGTCTTTTTTTTGTTATTATTTCTGGAAACGCAGTACGTGGGCTTTGCCGAACCTGCTCCAAACCCGACTTCTGCATCCCCGAGTGGCATCGGGGCTGTGCTAAGCCTGCACCATGCAGCTCTGCACGGGGCAGGCTCCTTCTCACCCTCATTCCCCACTCTTCCCTTGCAGGGGTACGGATGCACCGGCAGCGCCGCCTCTCCCGCACCCTCCGCCACCCACGGGATGAGCTGGGATGTCTCCGGAGCCCCGAGCCGGGCTGTGGGAGCCTCCGCCGCCGCAGCATGCCCCGTGCCGGCCGGCAGCGCCCCGTCCTGTACATAACAGTGAGGTGTCCGTAAAAGGTTTTCACCCGTTGTAATTTTTTTTTTTTTTTAATTATCATTTTTTATTTCTTATTTTTTTGCCCCCTCCCCCAGTTTGTCGATTGTGTTGAACTTGTCGGAGTTTGTAACGGTAACTTTCAGAGAATATTGTACTAAAGAGAGAATTGCACTCAATAAAAATAATGAAATAAGCCTGATCCTTTCTCTTCCCCTTCCCAGAGGCGGTCTTTCTGCCGCTGTGTTATCTGCAACTTGGCCATGAATATTCATTTGGGGAGCTGGCAGTGCTCCATCGCTCCTTGACTTACCTCGAATTTTGATGTATATCAGATTTGGCTCTCCGGTTTGTAAATGAAGTGACTTTATTCCCATTGATCCCTATCAGTGGCTGCTCGCTGAAGAAAAAAAAAAAAAAAAGAAAAAAAGCTGCAAGAAGGAATTTTCTTGGCACGGGTTTTTACACACAGCACATTTCAAAACACTCATGTGCAGTCATTTGGGGGAAGCCGCGCTGGAAGTGCTGACTTGGATGAAAGTGCCGGCTGTGTGGTGTGAGCACAGAGGCTCCTCGCTTCCCCAGGCGTGCCGGGGCCTGTCAAAGTCCAGTGCTCTGCTTGAACCTATACCTGCAGGTGCATGTGCTTATCGGGCTCAGAAAGAGGAGTTACTGCTGGGCAGTGTGCGGGCTGAGGGTTAGGATGTCCCGTGCCCCTTGTTTTTTGGGTGAAATGGGTGGGGCCGGTGTGTCCCCAAGGTTGCTGCTGCCCTGTAATTCTGCATGAAGCCCCCAGCAAGGAGCCTGCCCCCCTGGCAGCCCCCTGGCAGCCCCTCCAACATATGCAATGCAAATGGACAGAAGCAAATGGGCAGTGGTTGACCCAGGGCTGAGCCGAGCTTGTTTGTGTGCCCTTAACTGAATGTATATTTGATTTAATGGGCTTGTGGTGTGGTTTAAATGAGTGCTCACATTTCTTGGTTCCTCTGGGATTTGGGGCGCTGAGAGGGTATATCCCTTACACAGGTCACCCGAGGTTTCCCCCTTAAGCAACCAAAAGACATTTACAGCCAGTGCTTAAAGTTCCCAGAGCAGCTTGTCTGGGAATATCCTTTTAATAGGGTCTGCAGGAGCCCTGCTGACAGCTTGATGGCTTAACAGGACTCCAAAGGATGCGGGGGGAGCCCAGGCATTACCGCAGGGCTGGTCCCTGCCTCCCCATAGCTGCGGCAGCGATGGGGCTGCACCATGGGCACTTCATTGCTGCCTCAGATCCCCACCTGGCCCGGAGCAGCTCCTGCCTCCCAACCCAAGTGAAATGCTGTTTAGGGAGCCCACACAGAGGCCAAAAAAAGTTTTCCTGAGCATCGAATACAGATATAGGCAGCTGTCACAGCCCGCACGGAGACAAACTCTCAAAATGAAAAATCTCCACGTCATGGCTATCGGGTTTGAAAAATGGAAGCGGCGTGCTGGCTCGGAGTACTCCGCAGCAGCTGTGAGAAATTTCAAGGAACTCCAGTGCTGTCAGACCAAGTAAGTCCCGGCTTACCCTGGTGTAAGCAGAAAGCGGGGCCAGGGCTCGCGTCGAGCGGGTGCAGGGAGGAGCAGCAGGGCCGTGGGGTGCCTCTGGGTCACCCATGGGGTGCGTCCCTGGTGGCTGGTGGCAGGTGGGTGTCACGGCACGGGGACACAGGGAGCAAGGATGTCAGCTACACGTGGGGAGGTGGCACTGCAGGCGGTGGGAGACAGGCAGGAGCCCGTCTTCTCCGTGCCGTGCTTGGCAGTGGAAGACAGATAAAAGACAAGCCCAAGAGGACTGTAGGCTAAATTGTAATTGGAGCAATATGGTCCGATTATAAAGTTATGTGCCAGCCCGCATTAAACGGCAGCATCTGCTGGAGTTATCGGAGGTGCCTCGTTGCCTATTAAAAGTGATCGTTTTGCCCTGGAGGGCTGGAGAGCCAGAGCTGGGAGGGCTCAGCCGTGCCCCAAACCAAAAGGGCAGGGCCGCGTGCCCAAATCTTGGTACCTGCAGGGTTTTTGGGGCTGCTCTGGTGGGCTCCCCCTCCCAGCCCTGTCAGGGTGCTACCAGCTCTTCCCTCTCCTCGTGTGCATCCCCCTGCCGGGCTCCCCAGGGGGAGATGGGCACTGCTTGGCATTCAGCACGGTGCCGTCAGTCAGGTTCTGCCCCACAGACGGGTGTCCCGGCTGTCCTCCCAGCCCCAAAGCTTTCCGCGGTGCTTTGGGGAGAGGCAGAGAGCAGGAACCTCTGCCAGGGGGGAGGGAGCCGGTGACCAGCAGCCGTCCTGGTGCTATGGCAACTCGCTAAGCCCTGGGTGTTGATTTAATGCGTTCTGCCGTCCTCGGCCGCTTTACAAACCGCAGCCCCTGCGCTGAGTGGGAACTGCTCCCCTGAGCCAGGAGACCACCTCGGAGACTGCTGCGGCCTGGCTGTAAATTCCGGCCTGCAGATCGCCGGGAGCCCTGCTTGCCGTCAGCCCCGGCGGCAGCGGGGGGCTCGTGGGGAAGCCGTGCCCACGGCGGAGGGGAAGGGGCTGGAAACCCCCCTGCCTCCTGTCCTCGGCTGTGGGGGCAAAACCTGCTGCGTGCTGAGCCCCAGACGGGCCCACCAGCTACCCCGAAGCAGCGCCACATGGCTTGGCCAAAGGTCCTCTGCTCCTTGCCCCCCATGCTGCTTTCCCCGGTGGAAAGCCAGGGGAGGCCTGCCCCACGCTCTGGCGGCTGTGGCCATCCCCTTACTTTGTTCTCATCCGATCTGTGGAGGACAAATCCCTTCCTGTGCTGGGGGGAAGTTTTAACTCTGTGCCCTGCAATGCTTGCTGCCACCTCAGCCTGCCTGGCCGCTGGCTGGGCAGTCCCGTGCCCTCTTCCTACAGCTGGGGTTTATCCAAGTACAAACAGATCCCTGGGAGCCACTACCCATGGCCTTCAGGAGAGAAATGTGATTGTTGGGTGTCCTGCTACTGTGGGTGCCCTGAAAGCTGGGGAGCTGGAGTCTCCCCACTGTCACAGGCCTGAGTACCTGCCCCTTGTCTGAAAATGAGGCCCTTTAAGGTGCTGTTGGTTGGTCAACCAGCATCACTAATTGCTTTTAGGACTGTTGGCTGTGAAAGCTCATTTTGTGCATTATTTGACATTTAACGCAAAGGTCTGCTCTGAATCTCAAGATCTCTGCCAAGCTCGCGTGGCTAATGCACTGGATTTCATTGTAGTCCATAGCACAAGGGGTGCCTAGCAAGGCCCGTGGCCTTGATACCAGCTGCTTTGGTCCTCAAGGTTAAATTAACACTTGGCTGGACTCAAACAAGCCTGATGAGAGATTTGTAGGGCCTGGGGGCTGAGGGCAAGGAAGTTCAACTGCTCTGCCTCTTCAGTGGGCATCCCCACAGCACCAGGTGAGGGATCCTCCACCAGGCTCACAGCTGCAGGTTGTGCCGGGGCCAAAACCCACTGCTGAAAAATTTCCACCTGGAAAAAGTCAGGCAAGTTTCAGCGAGGTTTTCAGAGCATGCAGGGCTCTTGATCAGCAGTACCGGGCTTCTCCCTGGCTGAGCCATGGGAGCATCTCTTGCAGCGTGGTCCTCTGCTCTGCATGGCTCCGAGGAGCCTGTTCTGCTGTTTTTGGCCTTTGTGAAGAGCAGGTGGAGGTGCTAACAACCTTGTAATGCCTGTGGGGACAGCCACGGCAAGCGGCAATGATTGCATGGACGAAATAAAAGTTGTGAGTTGTTTTGCAAATATTTCTGAAGCCTGTGATACAGCGGCAGAAGTAGGCGTAATTACACGTAAAAATGTATCTACTTTGTAGTCTTTTAATTATCCACTCAGGTGAACCATAATGTGAGGGGAAAAGCTTTAAATCTGTTCATTTCTAATAATAAAAAATGAGGCGGGAGAGTGTTATTTGAATGTAATTAAGAGAAGATCCAGTTGGATGGATGAGCTAGAGAGCAGGGATCCGTGCTGTACTCTGGAGCCCTCAGGCTCTGCTGCCTTCCCCATCTCCGCCCGCATCCTTCCTCCTCGATGGAGGAGGCTGCTGGGGAGAGCGAACTTGAAACTGGGGAGAGCAAACTAGAAATGGTTCCCTTCCCCCTCCACTGCTCTGCTTGCTGAGCTACTGTCAGGTGAGGTACCTTTAAAAATAAATTATTTCCATCAAGCCTGCTGTAGTGCAGAGCTTTGCGAGAGAGGAATGAGTGCTGAACTTTATTTTTTCTTATAATGGCTCCTCGGAGCCCCGGATAAGATGGAAACCTGGCTCTCTGGGGCTGTGTGCTCCACCGGTGTGGTATGTGTCCTGTAGCACTTGCAAGTGGGATGGGAAATCCACATCCTGGGGAAGAAAGCTGAGGCATGAGGGAATAGGGCAGATCTCCCAGGGGAGGGGATGTGGTCTGTCCCAGGGGTGCCACAAGAGCTCATGCAACTCCCACAGCTTGCCCTGCTTGCCTGGGAGCCAGCTAGCAAATTGGGAAGCCTAGGCTGTTTTTAGCAGCACACATGCTTTCCCAGAAAGACAGAAGGCCTTGCTGCCTATCTGCTCTTCTTCTGTTATCATGAATGTCAAGCACTTTACAGACAGAGGCATTAAATGTCAGATCCTGTCCCTACAAGCCCTGCTTGTAACGTGAACGCTCAGACATGCACTGTGGTCATCTCGTTCCCATTTCCTTCCTCTGATAAGCGTTGTCCTCCGTGCTGCTGTGTTTGGAGACGAGGCCACAAAGCAGTGCTCTTTGTGCTGCTGTGGATGCTCACCCTGACATCTGCATCCTCTGTCCCAGATATTTGAAAACACTTGGGATCAGCTCTCTGCCTCTTCTTTAGGGACTCTGATGTGCATTTTGGCACGGTGTTCAGATCCCAGTGACTCTGGTCTCTGCCCGTGCTGCTCCCGTCACTGCTCAGGCTGAAGGCTCAGCCTTTGCTTGGTGCTGAGCCCCAGTGTGGGAGCCTCCCCCTGAGGCTCAGCAGCCCCTGCTCTGGTGCTGCTGCTCTGGGACCTCTGTGGGGCTTTGCCCTCGCGGCTCCCTTGGGTGAGCAAGACGAGGCACACCGCATCCAGCACCAGGCTGCAAACCATCTTGCGGCTTCTCTCCCATCCTATTTTTCTATCAGTTCTCATCCTTTGCTGTCATTTTGGAGAATAACAGTGCTTTGGGTGATCTGGTTTGTGCCCTTAAAGGGATAACGAGGCTTCCCCGCTTCTGTGTTATCGCTTTCCCCTTGGTATATGCCCCTAGCTGGCCCTTCTTCCACACCTCCTGGTGTGCTCGGTGAGAGCAGGCACCGTGACGGCTACAGCTCTCCAGTTGCTTGTCCTTGATGTAAGGGGGGATGTGACAACTCCACGTGCATTGGTGACATAAAATGCTAAAGTATATCCCATTTGGTGCCTTTGAGATGGGATTTCTCTTTTGCACTGCGGCATTGACACACAGTAAAATAATACTCAAACTACATATAATAAATTAGAGCAAATACTGCATGCTGATGTCCGGAAATTTGGAACTTGCTGCATGTTCAGTACAGGCTAACAAGATGCATTTTAATAATTACAAACGAACCTATGGCCAAAAGAGCCTTTACTGAGCACACCTGTAATGAATGCTGATGTGGCCGTTCCCCACAGAATGCTGATAATCACATTTGCCAGTGCATTAGAGCTGATTTAGGGGTAAACAATAGCTTCCACCTGAATTTGCTTTACAACCTATTGGCTGTAGCAGGTAGCTTTTTCTGTTATTGAAATATTTGTAAATATTTTACCAGGCCTCCACACTGCAGTTGTTGGCTGTGTGTTTTTTGGGGGTTTTATTTTGTACTATTTATTGTGAATTGACAACAATCCTGTTCACCCTCTGTATGACCCAAGGAGCTCACGCTTGTCCCCCCCTTCCTTTGTTGGAATAATTGCTCTTCCCACAGTGACTGCCGCATGGTTTGTAAGCTTATTTCAGGCACAACTGTGGGGATTAGTGATAACGCTGCCTATTGTACCAAGGTTCATACTATTTAAAATTGGAAGCAGAACAAAGGCAATTCAATTCCAGTCCCTCACTCTATGGGTAAAATAGCATTTTCTGACACCGTCCAGGAAATGTACGGGAAGAGCTGAGTTTCTGCCTGTTGCCTGTCTCTTGGGGCCACAGGCGGGGGTGCCGGGCAGGCTGCTCCCTAAAAACTCCTTCGTGGGACATTCTAACAGGCGAGAGCTCCACGCTATGTGGCCCTGCATCCTATGTCTTTGCTCTTCACATTTCTCTTCTTGGGACTCAGGGGTGAAGGAAAGACATGGCTGTCTCCCCTCCGGTGGGTCTTTGGGTTAATTTTCCCCGCAGCATCCAGCCCCCCACAGTCCCTGTCCTGCCCCATGGCCCTGCCTGGGCAGAGGGAGCTGGGAGCACGGGGCATGCAGGGGGTGGCGAGGAGCTCGGCACACACAAAAGCTGGAGCAGCCACCAGCAGCTGTAACCCTAGCAACAGTGTCTCAGGATTTGAATGTAATTATACCTCAAACGTGATAAACACTCCGAAGGACTCCTTATGTGGAGATCATACTAAACAAGTCTTTGAAATTACCCTCATCAAATATTGATAGAGGGAGAGTTTGGGGAAAAAAAAAAAAAAGACAAAAAAAAAAAGGAGAGAGAGAAAAGGCGAATTCTTGTTCTTGCCCACGGGCCGCAGGTTAATGGGAATCTGTTGGTTTATCACCGCAGCGCAAGCCCCGCCGATAGCTCCAGCTCACAACGAAATTAAAAGCGGGGGCGGGAGGATAAGAGAAATAAAAGCATCAGGTGAAGCAGCCGTATCGATTGACATTTTGTTTTATGTTCGGCATGCAGGAAAGCGATCCCAATAAACACCATTTATCTTTCCCATCCGCGGCCAGCAGGATTTAATTGCTGCGCGAGGGAGCAGGGGCCTTGCTAGGGGGCTGCAGGGACTTGGCCGTGGTGGCACGGAGGGCAGGGATCCCCCTCCTGCAGCGTGGGGCCTATGGGGAGAGCTTAAAACTTCCTTGAAATGTCAGCCCTGGAGACGTGGAGGGGGGTAAGAGGTCTTTGCTGCAGCTCCACGAGTGGTGAGTATCAGGAGAAAGGCAGCTATGGAGAGCCAGCCCTGTCTGTGGCACTGCCAGTCGCAAGGTGCTCAGTGGTCCTGAGGCTGCACTCAGTGGTCCTGAGGCTGGGCTCAGTGTGGTGAAAAGGCCAGCAGCGGAGTGTCCTCGGGACGGCTGGCAGCACAAAATGCTTGCGTGCAGGCGGTGGCTGCCAGGGCTGAGAGAGGCCCGGGGGTGAGGGTGTGTTTGCCCTGCGTGCAGTGCTGCGGGTGCTCTGTGGTAGCTCTCTGCGCTTGCAGCTTTCTGTCATTTGGTTTTTGCAGAGAAAACCCAAGGATCAGTGAACTAGGTGGCTGCTGGCATCACGAAGGGAGTCACCTGTGGGGCACAAGGCAGGGAGCACGCGGGACGCTTCATCTGGTGGTGGCACCGCTTCTCGTGCCCTGGAGAACTGTGCTTTGGGGCAGGCCTGGCTGAACCCATGCTTAAAAGCACATCGTATAGCCCTGCTGGCAAACCTCTGAGCGATCAGAAAACCACGTTTCAGCTCCAGCCACCCAGATTTGTAAAGTCCATCTGAAGCCAGAAGATGTGCTGAGATAGATGAAGGTTTTAGAGCATGGGGTCAAAAAAAAAGTGGCAGGCAGTCGAGCCCCCAGCTGTGTGCCCATTGGTCCTGTGCCACAGCAACCGGCTCTGTGCCGAAAACAGCTGGTGAATAGAATGCACAAACACGGTGCCTGGTCAAGCACTGCTTACATTATTTATTTACGGGCTGCTTACAAACAGGTGAAAACCCCTGTAATGCCAGTGCTGAGTATTAGTTACTGCTGATGTAACTGGGAGAGGAAATGGGGGGGGAAATGCATCTTTAAAGGTTGGTGGCAGGACGCAGAGGGTGACTTTATGCAGTGCGAGTTGGCTGTGAGGGACTGGTGGAAAGCAGAGGGTCTGCAGGCTCCTGGATGCTTGGAGATGCTGTTAAACAGCATGTGGTGTCGGGGGAAAAGGACTGCGTGTTGTCTTCTGGAAAGTATTTTTATGATTTAAAGAAAGCTGTGCTAACCCTAAGGCTACTCTGCCTACTGGAGAGCTTCTGTCTGATGTAGTTCCCAACCCGAGAGCAGAGCAGGGTGGATCCTGTGTAGTTGTTGGTGGTGAGCAGCTCCTGTTGGCTGGACAGCATCTTATATTTGAAGTCCCTGAGGAAGGATCCAGATGATGTCTGCATCCCTCTGTTTAATCAGGGGATTAAAAAAATAATTTCTGTGGCTTCCTTTCCCAGTGAAAATTACCGTAAATTTCCCTTTCTGGAGCCTCTGGAAGGGGGAGGATGGACGATTCCTTTGGGTTCATATGGAACATCCCTGGAAAATACTCCTGCCATCAGCAGCAGATGTCAACAGCTGCACAGATCCTTTGGAAGGGAGAGGCACAGCACCACGGAGCTGAGAGGTGCGAACAGGAGGGCAAGCGTGGACAAACAGCACCCAGGGCATGTGCAAGGAGATGCTGGTCTGGGTTAAAAGTGATGCTTTGACTTTGTGGGAGAGCTGTCGCTGTGAGGTGGATGGGCTGCTGTGAGTCGGGTAACAGAAATTAAAGGAACTCCTGGGCTGGGCCAGGCAGGCAGTGGCTCCCAGGAACGCTCCCTGAGTTCATGCCCAGGTGGTTTTTTAAAGGTTAATTCCTCCTGGTAGCACCTGGAAGGAGACCTGGAGTGTTCAGAGGGAATTCAGCTCAGTACAAAGGGTCTTAGAGTTTGCAGGATTCTTAGTCCTCATTTTTTAAATGTTAAAATTTGCTCCTATTCATTTCTTTTAAAAAATGAAATAGAAATCCCAAGCTTGCCTCCCAGTGCAGAGGCACAAAGAGAGAGCCATTCCTAGAGTCAGTAGCAGGGTACACCGCACTTCCTCCTGCTCCAAGGTGGCAGAATAAAGAGCTCCTGCAGTAATCTTTTTTCTAAGAGTTGCATTGTTAAAACCTTCCTTAGGGAAATCCAGGGAGCGTAATTGCTCTGGTCTGACTCTGCCCGCTGAGCCGCTTGAATTAAGTGGGTGTTTTGGCATCCTGAGCAGAGCCTTGTGGGAAGTGACCTTCGCCTTCCGCCGCTGCACTCTGCAACCTGCCGCTAATTAGGATGGAGAGAGCCCTCCTTTGTTTTCAAATACTAGTTTACCTCTGTCTTAGCTTTCTGCCGGGAGCTGACCGGCGTGACTCGGTGCATAATGAACGGGGCGCAGCAGATGGTAGTGCTCCAACGCCGTGAAACACAACTTTTAACACCACAAAGCAGAGCGGGAGGGAGAGGCCAGGCTTTGAACTGCTTGCGGAGTCTGTTCGCAGCAAAGCTTCTCATTACCCGGAGCTGGAATTAATGTCTGAAACAGCGCTTTGTTTAAAAAAAGTCTTTTCCCCGGCTGCTTTCATTCAGTATTTGCAAACTTGGGAAGCCTGGATGAGGAGGTGATGTGGTGGATAGGCAAGGCTAATGTCTGTGGAAAGACATGCGCTTTCTGGGGCAGGTGCCAGGCTGTGCCATGGCCCCATGAGAGGGGGCTTCGGCTGCTGCCTGGCTTCCCTCTGCGGTCACCTCTCCCCTGTAAGGCTCTGAGACTGCCTCGGCATCGGGCACTGGTGAAAGGACGAAGTGGGGGCTCTGCCTTTTGGAAAGCTCCTTGTTTCCAACCTGAAAAATGGGACAGAGAAGATGAAGTTTTCAAAGGTAAAGCTCAGTACCTCCCCTGCGGCAGAAGCTGGAATATTGAGCACTTAGAGGGTTTAAGCCAAATTTGCTCCTAAAGAGGATTAGTTAAACTGCGCTGAATTTCTATGTGAACACCCTCATTCAAATGTAATCTGGTTTATCTTAATTTGCTTTGGAAATGAATTCGGTAAACCCAATTAATGTCACTTCAATTCTGAATGAGAGCATCCCCGTAGGGATTTACTAACTTTAAAGTAATCCACTTTAAGTTCACACCTTCAACTAATTTGTACAAACTTTACTCAGCACTCCTCGTCAGACAGCAGCTAGCCACATCTGGAGGCAAGCAGACATGATCCACAAGGAGCCTGACAGATCTCTTTGGGTGGGTGAAAAATCTCTACACAAGGTCTCGAAATACCACGGTCCTGAGAAACCTCGGGCCAAGGGCACTGAAATCTGCACTGAAAAGCACCGGGGTCATGGTACGAGGCAGCAGGCTGGAGATGCAGGCTCCCTGTGTGGGCACTTGATCAGTTCAGTTCCCAGGACATCTGTGCAGCTAGAAATCACCTTCATGTTGTGTGAGGGTGAGCGTAACGTGCTCAGCCCTGCTTGGAGATAAGGCACAGGGAGGGCTGGCTGCTGGCTTACCCCTACGTGGCCGTGCCTGTGTAGGAGGCAAGGAGGCTCCCACGATGAAAACCAGGAGGGCGTGGAGGCTTGCACAGAGCTTTTCTCTCAGAGGAGGTATGTGGGAGGCCTGCTCTGATGTGGCCAGCACAGGAGCACCTGAGAAAAGGAGAGGACAGGAGCCTACTGCTGCCTCCCAGCCCTAGCGTGCAATGGCTGTTGGAGCGAGCCTGTGACAGGCCCTGCTCTTCCCAAAGCATGAGGGAAATGCCTCAGGTTATGCGTGGGCAGGCTGCTGTGGGCTCGCCATCATGTTGCAAGGCTCCAGATGTGCACCTGAACAGCCGTGCTCCATCGATTCAAGGGCAGGAGGGAACGGCCTAATGCCATACGTGTGTGGCGTAAAGACTCCTGCAGATGTTGGGTTCAGCCCCTGGGGCAGAGGGCTTTGCCTGGAGCCCTGCTTTACAGCGGGGCTTCAATCAGATCCTTCTGGCCCAAAGTGCAGTGTGAAACCCAGACAGACCGGTGGCACCATGCCTGGTGGCACACGGAGCTGCAGTGCTGAAACACAGAGCCATGCTGCCAGGTGCCCGGTAATGCTGTCCTGCACCCTGTGTCTGTGCTGGCACTCCTGTAACACACTGTACAAAGAAGTTGTGCTCCTGGAGCCTAAGAAAACCGATGGACAAGGGCTGTTGCTCTAGGAAAGAGCCAGTGTGGGCTGAACCAGGTTTTGTGTCAACATCACTGCTTCCTTCATGAGGGTGAACTGCAGCTCCAGGGAGAACTGAGCTCTTCTTGGGAAGGCAGCATGTGCGTGGGGAGTCAGCGGGATGGGCTGGAGTTAACACAAGCGCCACAGCTCCATGAAATCTGTTGGAAGCACTCAGGTGTGCTCACCTCCTGTGCTGGGTGGGATGGAGCAGCCTGGCCTCAGCACAGGGCCACAGGGCTGCTCATGTCCCACTTGAGATCCTTCATGCAGCCGGAGCCAAGCAGCACCTAGGTTCTCACCTCCCGAGGGTGTCTGGCATCCTTGGCAGGGTCTGAGCACCATGAGGAGGACAATGATGAGCCCTAGGTTAGCGCTGTGATGGGATAACTGTTTGAAAATTGAAGTTAGGCATTTTCATAGAAAATTATTCTCTGACCCCTTCCTCTGTGTTGGTGATGAAGATGGAAAGGAAAGGAGCTGTTTGTTAAATGAGGCCTGTTCTTCAAGCCCTGCAAAAGCTCTCAATAAGTTAATTGTTGACCAGATTATTCCTATCTCTCCCCTCTTGGTGTCTGTGGTCCTGTTTGATTTATGTCAGCTGAGAATTTGACCTAAATGGAAGTGCCCAGGTGGGGAGGGAGGCTTGTAAAGCTCCCAGGTCACACCTGTGTGGCATGGCTCTCAGTGCTGCAGTTCACTCCTGAGCTTGGAGGAGGAGAGGGCTGTACCCATATCGTGCCCATGCTGCTGAAGCTGGAGGTGCTGCACCCTTGGAGAGGCAGATGAGGACTTCTGTGGTGGAATTCAAAGTTCCCTGGTATGCTCGCCCTTGGTTTGCTTTTAGCTGAAATGATCTGGCTGCTCAGCATGCAGAGAGGTGGCTGTACCTGCACTGAGTGCTCTGGTTGTTCCGTGTGCTCTGAGCAGCGTCCAGGGGGTAAGGGCTGATGCTGGCATCCTCCGTCGTGTTGTGTGAGTGTAATCTGGTGTAGGCTTTCTAGGAACTGCTGCTCAGTAAGGGAAGTGTTTGGCAGAGCAGGGCTCGGGGCTGCCTACCTGCCATCTCCTTTGCTCATCACTAGTTTTCCTTGTGTCCCTGGGTGCTGCTGAGCGATATTGAAGCTTGGATAGAAGCGCCGAGTTGGCAACTTTTAATATTGCTGAAACATAATCAGCTTTTGCTTCTACAGCAATTAGCATGTTATTACCCATAATGTTTTGCATGGCAATTTTCTTGTAAACATTTGTACTAATTCACCATAACCTAATTATTTTTATGACATGTAATTATGAAATATTTTTGGAGGAGGAATGGTTTCATTTTCTATTTATACCATTATTTCCTGGAAATAGCAGATATTTTTAACATCAGGAAATACATTTTTCCCCTTCACCAGTTAGTTTTTATTTTTATTTTATTTACTGCCTCAACTTGCCTGGATAGCTCAGTAGCTTGGACTGCACTCTTACAGAGACGTGTGATGGGTTCCAGGAGAGATTAATTGCGCTGTAATTTGTGGTAGCATAATACTTAAATGGAAGAATATTACAGGTGTTTTTCTTCACTACTCAGTGGGTAGATGTGGTGAGTCCCAGTAACAGCATCTGCCATAATGTCCCTTTTCTAAGTAGTTAAGGAAAGAGTGATGTGGCAGAGCTGTTTCAGGAATGCAACCCGTCTGAATGCAGGATCTCTTGTGGGAGATACTGGTGGCTTTTGGTGTCAGGAACTTTCTGCTCAAGCCTTAGATCTGAGAGGGCTGGCATCCCTGGACTCTGCCAGCTTGCTTTCTGGCTTGGCGTGGCTGTGTCAGCATGCTGAGAGGATGGGGAAGCAGGGTACCAGTAGGTGGGTGGGGATGTTTGCCACCCTTGCTTAAAGATACTGGCAGAACAAGAGCAAGGAGAAACGTCCAGACTTTGGTTCTGGCTCCAAAGAAAGACTGTGAATCTACAGAGGCAAATACAAAAATAATGTCTGGAGCAGAGCAGTGGGGAACTCAATCTTTAGGGAACCTTGTGGGATGATGTGAGAGGTAATTTTGAATCCCTGCAGCTTGGGAAGGAAATTGAATTTGTCTTGCCCGCTCCCCACATGTATTCTGCTCGCTTGGTTACTGCACCAAGCAGGGAGCTGCTCACCCTACTTTAAAAGGTTGCAGCAGTAATCACGCTGGTATATGTTGCACATGCTCAGCCAACATCTAATGGCAAGAGGCCTTCCTTAATCTCATTCACGGAGCTGCTGTATAGAAAATGTGCAGAATTCAGGCTTAATCTTAATAAGCATGAAACTTGGCAGGCTGAAAGACTTGTATGTCTTGCCTGATCTCCAGTCTGGAGAGGTCTCAAAATGGAGCAATGTGTAGCACATTGACATGCTAGAAGAATTTCTACAAAAAAAATGCATTTTTAGATGACTGCATGTCATATAAATGAGATTTATTTCAATGCCTGTCATGATAGTTGAAGCAGTAACAAATTCAGTAATTGCTAACCCTGTGGTCACACAAGCTTTGAATGTTTAACTCTAAGCTACATTTATAGATCCAGTCACAGCAACTTTTAAATAGTATAGCCAGCCCTTATTATATCCACCCTTCTATGCAGAGAGGCGAGTGTCCTGGTTGGTGTCTGTGTAGCTGTGCAGTGTGCTAGCCATGTTGAGCATGCTGAGTGTTACAAGCAGACTGCTGTCTCAGAAGTTGCCTAAAATCATCTGTTAATCCTGTGATACTGATGAGGAATGTGGAAATTGGGTTAAGGAAAATTCACTGGCTTTTTTAATCTTTCTTGATGCTGGATATTAGTGCGAAGTCACACTTCCAGAAAGCCTACAAGTAATCAAAGGTGCAGATCTGAAATGATACAGTCATTTCTGTGACTGCAAGACCTGAGAATTGAAGTGGGCTGTTATGTGGAGAATTTTAGCAGCTTTTCGCCCTCCCTGAATGCCAGCAGCCTCCCCAAAATTCCCTCAAAAGCGACTTGCTCAACAGCCCTTCTTAAATGAGGTTGCTTTACTGGTTGGGATATTCGTTCTCTGTCAGAACAGAGAAGGTGACTTACAAAGTTCTTTCATCTCCGAAACCCAGTGTTATTCTTGATCTTTCTGCAGAAGTAATGAATTGAGATTGTGCTGTAATGTCTATCTTATGAAATATCTTGAAAATGAAGTGAACTCTGCACTGAGTTGTGACGCAGCTGATACTATAACTGAGGTATCTGTTAGCAGAAGTTAGTTACTTTGAGCCCAAACATTGCTGTGATTTTATTTATTTTTTTCAGGGACGATGCATCAGCAAGGATGTTTGTACATCAACAAACAGTCAAAAATGTGTCAAAACCTGGTGTTGTGTTTGATGCTTATCAGCTGAGCTCCCTTAAGGCACCCCCAATAAGCATGCTGGCCAGGGATTTTGAGAATGAGTCAAGGATATCTAAGAGGTCCCAAATGGCTGGTAAACATTTTACCATCCTGCTGATAGCATAGGAGGGGCGCTTCTGTACATGATGAGTTTTCTACCTGTGACCTGTAAGTCATTAGCAGTACAGGTGTATCTGGAACTGATGAAAATGAGCAGTTCCTGTTACTCTAATAGGTATAGGGAATTGTACCTTTAAACTTGTTGCGAGCAGATAGAAGGATGTTTCTGTATTTCAGAAGTATCTACTAAAAATCTAACTTTTTTTTTTGGCCTTGTCTAATATTACAGAGGTCAGGAAATTGGAAATGGCAGTTCATTGCAATGGAAAAGTTTCCTAGCTTATAACTGGAAATAACACAGTCAAGAGGTTTCTGATATGCTCTGATATTCTAGAAGTTATCTATCAGGTCGTGGCACTGCTTTGTGTTTTTGCGGAAACGGGTAAAATATGAAAATAAATAAATAAAAAGAAGTATGCAGAGAAAAAGGGCATCTCTTCTCTATCAAGAATCTTATGAAAAATCCATCCCTTATCTCTGCTGGAGGTCTTATGAAGACTGAGTTAACTGTCTCTAAGACTGCCTGAGCCATATCGTATTTGGAAGTAGCCAGATCAGTATCATCAACTCATAAAAACAAACAGAACACCCCCAGAATATCCCATCTGCCTCAGCTTCACTGACAAAGCACGTTCTCCTCAGCCTTTGACATAACCTGGTGTGCTGCATGCTTTACATATATGTAAAAATAATACTCTATTAGCATATATTGCTGCGAGGCTTGGCAGAAGGGGGTTGGAGACAGGCAGCTTGCAATGGGCGATCTTCTTGAAGCAGCTGTCTTAGAGTGCTTGTCAAAACAGATTTTAAAATGACTTTAAAAGGTCATGCAAGTGTCAGAAGGTTATTCTACAGTGTACCGATCTGTGTCAGCGTGGCGATGGATGAAACTAAATGTACAGCTGACAGGTATCTGAAAACCCAAAAGTCAAATGTGTATGATCTCATAATGGCCGTGAATCTCATTTATTTGCTGTGATTATGCCTGAAATGTGCTTGTGGGTTTTGTAGTGCCAGGATATTGAGGAAAAATCACAGGAGCCAACAGATGGACCCATATGTGTATGAGAAAATGGTTGAGACATAAGTGTTCAAAATTTATGGTGGCCATAAAGACCTGTGGAAATGATTGATTCTGCTCATTGCACATGCAGATCGTGACAGATATTAGAATAAAGTAAGAACTGATAGCCTCTGATCTAGGAATTAAATTTTTCCTTCCATGATGTCATTATGATGTCATACTTTATTGCCTATAATTTTAAAATCCATCTGGGTCCAGAGCTGTTGTCACCGTGCTGAGGTTCATGTGTATGACATCGCACAGTGTGTCAGCTCCTGTCTCTGATGGCAGTGCTCTAATCATTGGGCGGTGCTTTTCATTTAATCTCTTTTTTTTCCCTTATGTTTGTGATTTAAAGCGCTTTCCTGTCCTGATATGGGAAGTTACTGCTTTCTCGGGGCATATCATGTTCCAGAACAACTGTTGCTGTTTCTGAGGAGGCAGTGTAATTTGGAAAGGTCTTTGGAGGGCAGTGAGTGCAGTTCTTAGACGCAGTTTATTCAGAAAAATATGGACTTTTTTGGCCTGGAGGTCCCTGTCAGGTTGAAAATGATTGTTAGGGGATGAAAGGGTGACTGGCGCATGTAATCCCTGTGTCCTTTGCCTCCTCTCTCCCAAAGGCATACTAAACTGGTGTTCTCTAAGAGCAAATAGGACAGAGAAGAAATATCACCTGGTCACTGAGGCTGCAGGCCAAGACGTGCATGTGGCCAGGTTAGCTGGCAGATCTTCACGGCTGTCATTGGAACGTGCCATCTCCAGCTCAAATGTGAAATCCTTGAATAAAACAGACCACGGGGGAGAAGTGGCATGCTGAACCCCAAGATGTTAATTCCTGTTCCAGGGAAACATGTCTTGCCTTGCCAAGGTTGAAAAAGGTCCCAGAGCCAAGGGCCTTCCCTAAGAAAAGGTGCTCCTGCGGGGCACAGTGAAAGCAGGCCATGGCGTGGGCTGCTTGGCTTTAGCGAGCTA